TCAAGCAGTAAGACCATCACAGATATTCCAAGAATAATCCGATGTAAGATTAGGTGTTTAGGTAATTCTTTTACTCTTTGGTGGGCTGAAACCTTTCTCAATAAGACAAGAACTATCAGTGTATACTGAGGAGGAGTGGCAACTCTAAACATCCACATATGAACATCTTGGGTGATTCTGATCCTGAATTATGTTTGATGACATGTTTTTAAAATTCTCGGTATCTGTGCAGGACAAGTGCGGCATGTTAAAGATGAGCGGATACTCGTGGTGACAGTTAATGAACATGCAGAAGTTAATTGTAGGTCTGTTATGGGAGGTGAACTTTCCACCTTGCTACATAAAGTCACACTACTTTCTGCATTGGTACTGTCCATCGCCTTTGCAGTTAAATGGTGCAGAATTGTTTAATATGAACTTAATTTCTAGGGATCCTTGGTTGAGCCTGGGATTGTCAGTCTGATGCAGCAGATGTTTTGCTTTTCACTTCTTTCACTCGAGCAACAGGCTTCATGAAATATTCATGCAAAAAGACGTGAGAAAGCAATATTATTTTATAGTATTTTTCATGATGATGTATTAAATATGTGCTTTCGGCCAGATTGTTGTCTGATTTGTTTTTCTGTGATTCCAGTGTTTGAGTCATATAAGTGATAAAACCCAAATAGCTGCTGATGCTGATAAGTATGGATAAAGCAGGCACCACAGCAGAAGGAAAAATGAGGTTTCCTCTCTCTCTGTTATTTTCTGTGTCAGGTATCTGCAGTATTAACCCAGCACAATGAGAGCAAACTCATTTTAGTCATTTTAACTCTTTATCATGTCTGTTTCACCAGAAACACGTGGAGGTGAATCGTAAAGGCACTTTTTTGTTCCTTGTGCTCATCGGAAACAAAGTGCCGAGATGACTCCTGTATGTTCTAAAACACCCTCTCCATCTCGTCCCTCCTGCTCATCCTCCAATCTGTCCATCTTCAATTTCCACTGTCACCTCTACATTCATCGCCTCTGCCGCTCCATCCCTCCATCTCCATGTGCTCTTCCTCATTCCTTCCATCTCTCCCTCCCTTCCCTCATTACCCCCCACCTTAGCAGCAAGGCTGTCAGAGTTTTAGGGATCCGGTGAGCTGTGAAATCGCACAAATTGCTGTTGCTTTGCGTCTGGCCCGGCAACAGAGGGGGGAGAGAGAGGGAGAGACAGAAAGAGAGAAAGAGAGAGAGAGAGAGAGAGAGAGGAAGATTTTATGCTTCAACACTTCTGAACCCGGACCCCCCCCCCCCCGCCCGCCCACTGCCCCTTCCTCCCCTTATTCACTCAGACATGGACAAGCACACGCACAGCTGCAAAACTGCATATCTACCCACTACAATCCAAATACCTTCCTCCCCCCCAACACACACACACACACACACACACACACAGTCAACTTCTTCACCCCCACCATCACCACCACCTCTGAACATGTAACCGCGCCACCACCCCTCACGGTAAAGACACCTCCACCACTTTGCTTCAGCGCGCGGGTCACTTCACAGAACAACTCGACGAGAGCCTGCAGCCCTCGAGAGGAATAAAACCCCTCCTCAACCTGAGGAGAGCTGTTTCAGCCACCTCGGCTAAAAAGAGCAAAGCCCCCACCCACCCCTCACCCCCTTTCTCCCAACACACACACACACACACACACACCCATGCCCCCAGGGACACCCACAAAAACTTGCAAAAGGTCACAAACATACATGTTGTAACTGTTTCTGCACTCTTTATGATTTGTGTGTTTTCTCTTGTTCCAGTTAACAAAGTGATGGCAACGAAAATGTGGCATTACTTTCAATAGTTTTTATTGTTCTTGGCAATTCACTGATATTTTTGCCTTTCATGTGAGATATTATAATTAAAGTTTCAAAGTACGGAGTGCTGCCGTTATCCTGCGTTATCAGATTTTACTTTATGTAAAAGAAATTCAAGTAAAGATATAAGATAATAAGTGAATGAAACAAAAAAATAAACTGAGGAAACAGCAGCTTTGACATCCTCTCCATGTTCACCATTTGAAATGTATTTGATGAAATAAATTTGCCACGTAACGTGCTAGGGGAAGTAGTTTTTTTTGGTATCCTGTTATTGAATGGACATTTTTCTTTTTGCACCGCGTTGTATCCCACAGCTCACGTTATGTGCCAAGCACAGCAAAGCAACAGGAATCTGTCTCGGTGACACACATGCACCGACATAAAAACACACTGAGTCACTGGTACAGGGGCACAGAACCATCAGCAGAACTATCTATACTGCCCTCCAGTGGACGAACTCATCTACTGCTCCTCACTGAAATCCTCTGCAGCTCAGCCTCAGAAAAAAAACTGAAGTTGGAACATCTGCTTTAGGATGAGGATGCATATAAAGATTATGAGTTTCTATTCTGTATTTATGCTCTATTGTTTTTCTCATGAACACAACACCAGGAAGAAAAACAATTAATTTGCTATGCTACAGATATGTATTCTGAATAAGATCACTCCTGAAACCACAACAAAGATACTGAAGTCTTTTAAAGACAGACAAGTCTGTTTTTTATTAACAAAATATTTATTTTAATTGTATTTTCTCTGACTTTTATGAACCTGTATGTACATTGACAGGTAAGTAAAAGTAAAGTACACTACACTGAACCAGAAGCTGCGACTGAGGATGTTTTAGTTTCAGGGGGAAAAGTCAAGCATGTTAGATGAATAACATGGTAAACAGTAAGCTTGTACCAGTATTACTGGACGTACTGTTATGTTTTGATGTTATGTTTGACATTTTTGTTGGTCATTGAACTGTTACAGAGAAGGACGTGAAGCAAAGGGACAGAGGGACAGAGCGGGGGAATAACATGCAACAAAGCATGAGAATTATATGTATGCGTCTTCACCACTCGGACACATCATTCTTCATCTATTAATGGAAAATTCCCATGTCACACTTTTTTTGTGTGTTTACCCCTCTTCAAGCAGCTCCACTGGACCATGTTGTGTCAAGTGCATTGCTCAAGGGCATTTTGACAAGTAATTGATTATGTTTTTACATCATTAAAAATATCTTATTTTATACTCTATCTGCCTTTGTTAATCATAAAAGTTTTATGTCACTTTTCTTGCCTGTATTACTGGTTCTGCTCAACTCTCTATTTATTTGTTAATTGATTTCTTGTATTAATATGTTATTTTTCAATTTAGTGGTAAACCAATTCCCCTTTAGGGATTAATAAAATTATTTATCTAATTATTGTTTCCATTATAAAAGTCCTCGCAAGACATTCATGTGTGTGCCCAGATGTTTTGTTTTGAGTTGAAAGAAGTGAATGTCTGGAGTTCAAATTTAGTAAAGCATTGAAAGTAAAACAGATCGCTGTGAATAGTATGGTTTGCTTCATAATGTGACCTTATTGACGCATTACACTGTGATCACTTTGGAAGCACTTCTGATCGCAGATGCAACTTTTCTCAGTTGTCACACTTGTCAGATGTGCCTCCAAACCATGTGTGCTTGGGTTGCATTGCCAACAGGCTGCTACATGAGGGGTTAATTTGTTTTAAGCCGTGTGGGACAGTAACCTTAACTAGATCCTCCTCTCTGGGATCGGTTCCCCGATCTGCTTTGAGTATGAGCAAAAAAACCGTTTCAGTCAGGAGATCGCTGCTTCCTGAGTGAACAAAGCCTTAAACTGTAAGTGGTCTAACTACATTTAAAATACAACATGCATCATATTTTAATGAGATTATTGTATTATGTCTGTTAATCTTCATTGTGTGTTAAAATTCAATCTTAACATCAGTGTGCAACCATGTACAAGTATTGCATCCGAATGGGAAATAATTCAAGCAGCATTCATCTATAAGATATAAATATTAAATAGCACAGCATGAAGAAAGAGGCTCTTTTACCTTCTATTCAAATCACGCCTCCAAAGCTCAAACCTTTGGAGTAACCTTCACATAATTATAGAGCATTTATATTTGTAGACTGTAGGTGACTATGCTGTAGTTCTCTTTTCTGTAGGTCAATAAACAAATCTGACATATTGTAAACTAGGATGTGATGTGATGTAACAAGGTTTCATAATCTGATGTACTGTTGTTTCACATGTGTATTTAAGAACAGCAGGTGGTGGAAGAATACAATACAACAATGTAAAAATACTCAAGTACACAATATATAATAAGTATATAATACACAAGTAAGAGTCATCATTCAAAATCTTATACAAGTACATGTAGAGAAGTATTACAGCAAAATGTGCTTAAGGTATCAAAAGTAAAAGACACCCACGCTGACTCTGGGAAATTATTATATCAAACATGACGACTGTTTTTCTGAGATGATTCCCAAGATATTTATTTATTTTGCATTGAAACTGTTTCTGTAATCATCCAAAGTTGATTTTGTTTTTTGTAACTAATTCCTTCTTTGTACAATTCCTCCCCTGCCGCCCAAAAAGAAAACAGTTCAGGGAAACACAAAGAGGGAATTTTATACTTAAAAAGACTGTAACTGTGGGAGATACCCACTTGATTGGTTTAGTGCTGAACCTTCATATTAACCTCAAATAAACCACTGAATACATTTTTGCGCAGAATGATGACTGTGGATTTTGTCTCCATCACTTACATTGGTTAGGAAATGTTTCTTTTTCAATGGCCGGCATGAACAGCAGGAAGGACTACAACCAGCATGAACTGATGTAATGTTCATATGGACCGCTGACTGTTGTTTTAAGGCAGAAACATTGAAAGGTTGTGAACTTGTCCTTTAAGTTGCATAAACTTACTCCACATTTCGGCGCTGTGGTTTCACCGAGCTGGTGGTGGAGGTTGTGACCTGTCGGGGGTGGGATCAGTCTTTCTTTCACTTTTCATTTGTTTCTCGTGAAAAAAAAAAAAAAAGGAGACGGCAACTCGCAAAAACTTCACATTTCTTTAACCCAGCAGAAAGTAGCGAACAGCGACAACGTTACGTTTTCAATGTTGTTAAGATTAGATTCAGTCCACGATGTGAAAACTACACGAGCACATCGTCATGACGGAGTTCCCCTGTGAGTACATGCAAATATTGAACCTCTATTCCCGTCAATGAAATTGGGTCTCACGCTCATCCTCTTTCTATGTGTGTGTGTGTGTGTGTGCACACGAGAGCGCGCGTGTATACGCGCATGCGTGTGTGTGTGACAGTCAGTCATTGGGGTTCAACAATATATATTTTGAAGTGAAACCAGTAATACTGATATTCTCTTGGGGGACTTGGTTTTTACCCAAAAAATTCCACGAGATCCCCCCACCCAAATTAAATCTTGTCAAGGGAAATACCAATGAAAAGCCATGCTGTATTCCACAAAAATAAAATAAAATACAATTCCAAAAAATGATTTAATATGTAGTTGAAAGCAAGAGATTAAATATTTTGTTGATTTTTGAAGTTAAAATAAATAGATAGAACCCCTGCTGCAAGAATAATTCAGAAATGTAATTTTCTCTAACTGGTGATGCACTGTCATGTCATGTCATGTTCAAGTAAAGATATAAGATAACAGGTGAATGAAACAAATGTTATTGCCAACTGTTAAACATTAGAGTTGAAATATTCTGCTTTGGGGTTGTCTGGCCAGAATTGATTCAAGTAAACATCAGCAAATTCTAGATGCAACTGTCCTGCAGTCAGTCAAGTTACTGAAGTGAGAAGGGCCGGGTTTCTGATTGTTCACAGTCCCCTGACTTGAACATCATTGAAAACCTATTTTGGAAACATGCTGTGGCGGCAAGGCAGACACCTGAAAATATCTCGCCCACTCATCTGAAAGGAAGAGTGGGCGAAAATGGTGGCGGTGCGCCAATTGACATATACATCTATGCTGTACGTACAACGATAAAGTCATACATGTGAACATATTTAAGACGGCACACGGCAAAATTATTGCATGTATAATTGCATTGTGGGATTTCACATGAATAGACGACATAGCCATAGAAGTCAGACTCCGCTGCGAAGTCAGAAAATCATAACACAATATCAATCATAAAAACTGTAAGTCAATTCTGAGAAATCATAAAACCATACTAAGTCATGACATCATATGATTTCAATGTGATATGGTCAGGGAGTAGCTGGTTGTTTATTTAATAGTGTAATAGCCGTCGTGGGGGGGGGGGGGTAATCTGTTGTCTGTATGTATTCCCAAGTATTTATAGGCCTCTACTTGTTCAATTGCACTGTCACCAGTGCACTCTGGGGTCAAATATCAACAGCAGTTTTAAAAGGTGGCTTTCTCCCTGTGGTATACTGAGGGGCAGCCTTCGCCATGTAACAGGCTTCATATTGTTGTATCACCTGAGGATTTATTGGCACCCAACTAAATCAAGAAAAGAGAAGCACAGGCTGTGATATCTGGGGGAGACTAAGTGTCAACACCTTGAGCCTGCTGAGTAATATTCTCATGCATATTCTCACTGTGTGTTGAAACACCTCACCAGTAACAGACTTGGACTCACCTGCCAGTACCGTGACCAGTGCTGTGGTGAAAGAGCATCAGCCTGCCACTGAGGCGGTCTTTGTCAAATGAGAGACGTGTGAGAGGGAGAGCGGGGAATGTTGTTGGCAGACTCTAATGAACAAAGGTGTGTCCATTTACCTGTGACTTCGTACTGATTACAGCCATCGACTTTGTACTTTCACAAATCTCTCACACAGGGAATGAGTCAACACAACAGAAACGAATTTCACTCAACACTGAGAACAAGATTGAGAATATTGTGAGCAGGAGACCCAAGTGAAATTTGCAACTCTGGCTTTGTGTGAAACGCTCTGCAGCCCATGCTTTTTGAAGGTTAAAAGTAAAGTGTGCGTTAAAAGAAACAGAAATCAGTGAAAGTTGAGTAAATGCATGTGTCTATTCTGTAGCTGGTAGAAGTGCATTAAAAACGGATAACTGCAAACTCCCCAAGGTTTGAGCTAAACCTGGTATACAGAGTTCTCCGGCGGCTGCCTGGTGTTTGTACAAGACAGAGCAGCTGCATGTCGGAGCATCTCAGGCCTTAACTTTCTGAGCATGCAACAGTTATCACTACCTTACAGTGTATTGCATTCAATCAGCGTGACTTTAAAGAGCACCTTCCAGGTTGGAAACCCCAGTGAATGAATGTGTGGGAAAATTATGTCGAAACTCCTCATGAAGAAATTTGTTCTCCCATCCTCACCAGCAGCCACACTGCAGCACCCAGGGACCAGCTCCAGTTCTGACGCCATTGCCTGGTTCTAGATCAGTTGCAGGAGCAGCTTCATAAAGGTACTGTATTCTCCCTGGTCACTTTACTACGTACACCTGTGTGATGTAATGCAATCCAATACAACAGCTCTGCCACACATTCTGGCCTCATGAAGCTCACTATGGTCAGAGGTGTTAATCACATGCTCGTGAGTGAGCTTACAGTCTGTGGCGTTGTTGTGCTGGACTGCACTACATTAAAATATGTTTTGTAATATTCTTCCCCTTTCATGTTTGTAATTGTTGTGTGCAACACATCAGAAAGACGTCTCAATACAACACAGTCCAGTTCACACCACTACAAACTACAACCTCAGTAAAAAAAACACACAGTGAAAATAATTAATTTCCGTTTGTATCCATCGATCTGTGGGTGAGCTGCTGTTCTAGGTTGCATTAGATATTGCAGGTGCACTTAATATACTGGCTGCTGAATGAGGGTGAATTTTTATTTTTTTTTCAGCTCATGCGTTCGCCCTGTAACCACGAACCTGCTTCAAAGCACGACAGATGCAAAGCTTTGTGTACGTTTGTGTGATAGAATGGCATTTGGCTTTGACTAATATTGGTGCAGTGACGTTAAACAAGACACATTTGCACGCCTACGTAGCGATTTTTAAGTTCCACCAGGTCCCACCAAAGCCCAAAGCACCAACATGCTCAGAGGCAACAACATCAAGAGAAAATATTATTATTAAAAGTGAGCTCTGAGGGGCTCCACAGCAGCACTATGACTCATTTAGCCTCAGACACAATGCACTCTGCTGGGAGCGTCTGAAAACCCCTGATAAACTGTTATTGTAGACATGTAGGTGTATGTTAAGGGTCTTTTGAAAGGCTCCACAAAGCCTCTCTGATTAATTTCAGTACTGAGACACACAGGAATCTGGTTTTGAGTGAATGTTAAAAGCGACATGAGCAAAGAGGAGCTTTGTAATAATTAAATGGCATAACATCATGTGGCAGTCAGTAGATCAGTAACTGAGAAGAAGAGTTGGTTAAAGTTCATCTGTACCTCTGTATATTTCCTCTACTGAAAAGCATGTTCTTAAAAAAAAGAAAAAAGAAAAGAAAAGAAATTGTCTTGGCTATAAGTGACACAAACATGATGACTACATTATTTTGTAGATGGTAGTTTCAGTTTCCTGTTGACTTTTTTTCCTCCTCTGGTTAACTACTGCATATTCATAGCGGCAATGTGGATGTGGTGGAAAGGCACCACACAGACACCGCTCAGAGGGTCTGAAACCACATCCTTAGTCACGCCAGTTATGATGACGCCTGTGACAAAGGCTGAGCATTATTCCACTAAACGTTCTCTCACAGGCAGCGGTACATCAGTGACTCCGTTAGCTAGCTGACTGATTAGGTGGCAGGATTATAAATCAAAAAGAGGTAAGATTGTTGCTTCTTAAAATTCGCTTTAAAAACATTGAGAGCAGTTCTTATTGAGATGTTTATTCATTCATTCATTTGGTCATTTATTACCTTGTAATTATGAGTAGTAAATGGAAATCTTGATGCTCTTTTATGAATGTATGTCGTTATTATTGTTAATGCTAATGATGTTTATTCACCACATCTGATGCTGTAGGTAGATTTTAAAACCTTTTTCCATTTGATAACTATTTCCCCAAATCAAACCAAATATTTTTAATAATAATTTAATTTTTTTTTTTTTTTTTTTTTTTTTTTTTTTTTTAGCATTAAACTGTGTTTTTTGTTTGAACTTTTACTTTTAGCACAGACAAATTTATAACAAATAAGTCTATATTTAGTTCCAGCTGCTGTGTTTCCTCCTTTCTATCCAGTTGCTGAGAACAGTGGGTCGTCCCCATGGCGCTCAAACCTGTGTGCTTATTGATGCTGTGGGGCCTCACTTTGTTGATTCATGGTGAGTCGTCTTATTTAATCAGGGTCTTTTTCTTGTATTGTTGCGAAAGTCTAGTAGAAATCCCCCAATTTAAATGAAAGATGAGCTTTGTATTTTACTCTTGTACACTGTTGTGTGTTTGTCTTGATGCTGTGGCCTTTGAAATGAGCTTCTTACCTTGATTGAGATTGCCTTGTTAAATAAAGAATTTAAAGTGCAGACATTTGTAGTGCATGAATGTTAAATTTAGTAAATGCAACTGCAGCAACACAAAACACGTTTCATTTCTGCTCCAGCCACGTCTTCATGCATTGTGACCTGCTCAACGGACTATGAAACTCTACTGAATTGTTCCTGCTCAGGCTCGATGCCGACACATCCTGTCACACTCCAAGTCACTTGCAGGTACGAGGCGTTGTTAGCGTGGCTGATCATCAATATGTTTTATGTTGATGTATGATGCCATATATGACTTTACTAGAGTACCACTTGTTTTAATGCAGATGGCTGTCTGGGAGATAGCTGTTGATTTCTGCTTCTAAATGAGACTTAATAATTGAGTTATTTTTGTGCCGTCACTAATATTGTGATAGATCAAGTGTCATCAGTTGTTATTGCTTTGTGAGAAATTTTTGAAAATGGAGGCGCTTCACTCATGGAAAGATGTTTGACTTACGTCACACCTTCCGCAAAAGCACCAAACATCAGGATGTTTTCAGTGTTAGAGCCCTTCACTGATGTCATGATGTTATCTTATGTATATCTTACGTTCATTATCATCAGCGTGAGGAGTAGAGCCCGACCGCTTTAGCATGTTAATAAAAATCCTTACATGACATTATCCATTACTTAAACATAAACATGTGATGCACACAAACATTTTTCTAGATGTGGCGTTTAAACGACTGCAACCAGGATACGTAGCCGATCGAGTGGGACATTTCACAGTTGAGAAATAAACTTGTATACGTGCTCCCTGGTGGACAGACAATGTATTTTACAAAGATAGAATACAAAGATTAAACTACAAACAATGTTGTTAATTGGTTGATCATTTCAGTTATTTATCAAGCAAAATACCAAAGATTTTCTGCTTCCCAGCTCCTCGAATGTGATGAGTGAGAGCTCAATTCAAAATAACAAGCATTTTGAATACCGTGGGGAAACCGGTATTTTCTGACCTTTTTTTCCCCCCTTCCCCTTGACAAAACTATAACTGGCAGATTAATCAATAATGATCAATAATGAATGTACCTGCACTTCATCATTGTGTTTTTTTGTTACAGTGGTGACGATGAAGAGGTTGAAGGCAGTTGTGAAGTCGAACCGCCTCAGTCCTGGTGCATAATCGCCCCGAAGAACTTTGATGACGTTACCTCAGTTGGAACCATCTGTAGTGCTAAAGTCAGCCGACAAGATAATGGAGAAATAATGAGTGAGTCACCCAGCTGGGGACTGTGTGATGTGGGTAAGTTGAACTGTTATAACCACATGAGTTCACATATCAGTATTTGTCATTTCTACTGAACAGATAAGAGAATAACACAGACATTACAAAAGGTCACGGACATCACCTATGACTTGTTTAGTGGCATTAAAATGCAGCAAGAGTTAAATATTAACTTCTTCATTGTAAATACTTGTAAAATCTCGTTGAATACAACCAGCCTGTGACTAACAGTCCTCACAAATTACTGCGCATTAAAATCCAGAGATGAAAGAAATCATACTGGCAACTTTCCCAATTGTCATTTGCTCACCCAGCTGCTTTACCCTCCAAACGAAAACTTAAGCTAAAAATAATGTCTAACTGCCACTTGTGGTGTAGAGTGTCGTATGCATGTTCAACTTCACAATATTTCCCCGGTCCCCTTGGGACTTTACTTTCACAGTGAAACCTAAGCCTCCTTCCAATGTTCAAGTGACAAACACAAATGGAGTCTACAACATCACCTGGGACAGCGACAACCAAAAAGACTGTCTCGTATACAGTGTGCGCATAAGAGAGAGCAAAGACCTGTCGAAGGTAACATGTCAACAGAAACACAAAGACCAAAAGAAATTGAGATGCTCTTGCAGGACATTATTGTCAAACTGTTCTGTTTTTGTTATTCCTTCCTAACAGCATCCAGTTCTTCCCCTTTTTATGGAAAAAAAGTACATTGAGTTAGAACATGACAAACTCCAGCTGCATGTCAACTACACTGTGGATGTTCAGGCCAAAATGTGTCCCGACAATACTTATCATGGTCCGTGGAGTGAGTGGAGCGCTACAGCAGAGTGGAGAACACGAGCTTCTGTAGAGACTGAAGGTAAGAGAACCTTGTACCTTCCAACCCGGAACCGTGATACAATCATCGTATCGTCCAGGGTATATATATAAAATCGTGGTTCAGGTTCCTGATCGTGATATATTATCCATGTTAGGTCACACTGTTGAGGCTGGTCATGTGGGAAGTGTTAAGTTTTTTTATTCTATCGGGGGTTTTCTGTACATATTTAAACATTTTGTCTCCTTTACAGGAAATAATAAACATTGGTGGTGTATCCCGGTGGGACTCTTTCTGATCCTCGGCATCGTGTTGCTGGGTTATTTACAAAAGCCGTGAGTATTGTGAACACTGGAGTTATTTTGTTTTTCTGCAAGTGTGAGAATTTAAGCATCTCTTCTTAAAGAATGTACTGGAGTTACCTTCAGGACTTTAATCATTTCTCAAGATGCCTCCTGACCAACAATTCAGTGGGTCATGTTTCCGTATTTTCAAAGATATGGTGGTTGTTAGCCAATCCAAAACATTCACTACATGAGATCATCTCATGTATGTTTTTGAACCGGTGGTGCTTGGTGCTCACAGTCTTTACTTCAAGCTTTTGGAGAAACCTGCAGAACTGAATATATTTAAACAGAACAAACTATTAATAATAAAAAATAAAACATGTAAATTGTGTTTAAAGGTTAAATTTCTTTACAAAATTCATGCGTAAGTGAATCTACATTAATTGCATGCAACATATCTCAGATAGATCAAATCAAGACTTAAAGTTATTGACACTGTGTCTTCCAGTAAATGATTAGCAAGTCTTCTCACTGCTTCAATCAACACTTTTCTTGGCATCACCTCCCACATGTAGAGAAACCACTGCAGCACTGTACGTGCAGCGACACATTGCACTGAAATGGCTAGCAGACATAGGAAGTTATGCAGAGCATCAGTGTTTGAGAACTGAGAACACTTCACTTATCAAGGGCACACAGTTACAAGAATAAAAAAGACGAGCCCCAGATCGAGCATGAACTCAGGTATCATAAGATGATATCTTCTGTGTGCCATAGTGATTCTGACTTTGGTGTGGTTCAATGCACCACTTACATATGCTCCTTATAATGAACCACGGTATTAGTAGCAGAAGTTGCAGTTTGTGGTGCTGTTGATTTGTTTTGTGTCATACTCTGAGGTGTTTTCCAGCAACAGCTTTTACACTAGTTCAGTACAATAAAGCAATAAATATGCAGAAGTTGATGTGACTTGGGGATGACGTGGCTGTTTGTTCAATAGATTTCACATGGTAAGATTTTAAAGCATCACCCAGGGAGCATGACCCAGCATTCAGAGAGGAGAGGATGTTCAGTGTCATAAACAATAGGCTGCTCTTTCCTGTATATAATATTAAACAGATCATCTAAAGATAAATGCTGGCAACTCTAGTCACCTGTTTTGCGTTTGCCAGAGTGTTAAGATGCTGTTTATCAGCCTGACACACACTTTTCCCCAGAACATTTTGACTGACTCCAAAATTCCTAAATCATCTAATCAACATTGTTTTTGCATTGGTTTAAGCTAGTCGTACCTAATAAACTGGCAAATGAGTGTATATTTCCGAGTGCTCAATAAGACACTTACTTACTTACTGCGCCACTTGCTGCGTCTTATCGGTAAGTCATACCTCCTGATTAGGCATATATTTTTTTATTTTATTATTTTATCATTTTATTATTTATTAATGTTCAGAATAACTTAGGTGTGACTGAGAACCATGTTTTCAGCTTAGTGCTGTGTAATAATTCACATGAAAGTCATTTTCTGCTATCGGTATAAGTGGTTATGATTTACCACCGAAAAACGAAAGAGCCTTATCATAAAAGCAGCACTTTTGAGTTATAAATGTCATTTCATTTTCCATTCTCCATTTCCATTCTTTGTCTGTTTCAGGTTTTGGCAGAAAAAGCTCCAGCTGATCACATACATCCCCAAGCCAGATGAGTTTTTCAAGCCCCTCTACCACAACCATGGAGGGAACTTCAAGGTAAGAGAAAGCAAAACAAACTCAGCTCAGATTAGCTTTGTGTGTAATTTCAAAAACGGCCCAGCAGGTGTTGCCCAAGAGGGGACTTTTAGCACATCTGGACCGCGCTTGATGGGACTTTCCCTTCATTCACAGCTAAGGGCCCTCGTGAGGCAAATGACTCAGTGTGCAGGGGCTTCAAGAGGCTTTTCGTTTTTTTATCTATCAGAGATGCTGTGGGTAGATATTTGTCTCTGACACCCTAACCTGTTCCACCCCAGTGGAAAATACCCCTGGTGTATCTGTTTCAGGTCTTTTATGTGTCATTGCATGAGGCTAAAAACAGCCTGTTTACACTTAATATGGGCACAGAGTGGTGATGTTTTTATGGCTGTATTTTCCATTCACCTAATGTAAATTCTTCTAAAAAGAGACTACTTATTATTTTTAATTCAATTTTCAGTCCAATTTTAAGTCAAAACTGATGGAGTGCAGGCTACGCTTCTAAATGTCTATGTCAGCAATACAGGCTCAAAATGGTCAAATTTGACTCTTGGTCCTCAAAACATGACAGCCTGGAAACATGCATGGGATTAAATAACACTAAGATTACTTATCATTTCCTAAGAACAGGTTTTAAGCAGTAGAAGCGAGATCAGGTTCTCAGGGTTGAAGAACAAAGTTAGGACTTTCCAGGCTTATATATTGTAGTTTGTCACTATGAGATCAATATTATAAAGAGTCTGGACACCGTGTGGTATCCTATATATTCTAATATTGTGACAAGGCTTTTCTAAGGGTGTGTTTAACTGGTCTTAAAGGCCTGATCTTTATATAATGTTACATTACTTGTTTCTCAGAGTTTTGTTTTTAACCATCTGTTGCAAACACATCATTGCATCGTCTACAGTATATGGGGGAATTCTGTCAAACATACTGTTATTTGCTTATTTACTTTTGAATGAGCCACTTCATGACAAACAGCTCGAACACCACAGTTAGTGTGAGATTTGTGTGCAGTTACAAACATTGCTCAGCAGAGTGCGCTGCTGCAGCAAATAACAGAGAACACACTGTGGAGGGGGAAGTACAAGAGAGATAATGAAATCCTGAAGTGCACTCCTGTACTTTGCTCTTCTATACTAAATGTATAAACTAAACCAGGCTAAAAAAATGTATTAACATTTTGTGACCTATGGGGCAAGTTAAGCGGATTTACAAATAGAAGAACACACAAACTCATTCATACGTTTAAAAACAACCTAAAAATACAGAAGTGTGAAGTGTGAAGTGTGAAGTTAAGTGTGAAGGAAAACATGTGAGCGACAACAGATAATGGCTGTGGCATGAAGACACGTTATGTCAGGAGGTGCAACTGCATTGAGCTTTCTATCTTCTGGCTTGTGTAAGAAAACCAAACTTCCTTCTGTTTGTTTTACATGCAAACTATATAAATCACATTATAGAAGACATAAATGACATTCGGTAAATGTGTATGCCTTTATGAGGACTTACTCAGTAGACCTAGGAGCAAATACACATACTTTCAATAAAAGAAGAAAAAGTAGGAGTTGAGCGTAGGTAGATGATACTGAGTCTGCTGTAGTGGCGTCTGTATTTTCACTAAAACTCACTCTGTCAACTTATTTTATATTGATGGCAGAGTCAGACTTCGGCCCTAATGTTTAGTACTTTCAAATACCCCAAATAACACTCAATTTGCCACCAGTCCTTCATCATAAAGAGTAGCTTGTACAGTACATTATACAGCATACTGTGCACAGTATGTAGTTTATATTCACAGTCTTCTGTGTGAGTATGTGAATACTGCAGTCTCAAATTCATCGAATTCAAATACAAATACAAATGGCACGCTTAAGTTACATCATCTTGAATCTGTATTACATCATCTGAAATCTGGTGCAGTGGTAGTCCAGTGTGAAAGTGTGAGTGAAACAAAACGTCTGTAGTGTGAAGTGCTTTATGACAGGTGTGAAGCTCTGTAGTGCGATCCTTGTTGCTCTTCAGATGGCTCTCACCAGGTGTATTTTTTTGGTGCTGTATATCATGTTGTCAGGTTCGCTGTGAAAAACCAAACCAGAAGTCGCTGGTCTAGTTTGCCTGCACTATCTTTGTCTTGTGGTGCAGGCTGATTGTGTTTTCTCAGCGGATCAGAGACGACACCGTGATGCTTGATGAGCTTTGTACCTCAGGATGTGGTGACCTTTGCGTCAAGAGACTGATTCATTCTTATCTGGGCATCACCTTGCTGCATGGAGGCTACAGGCTGACTGCAGAAGATTTACCTGCCTGTTACATGAATGAGCTGCTGTACATGTACACGTACATTTGTGTAGAGAATGTATTACAGTCAAAAACACGATTGTACCTGGCATTATTTCTTAAATGAGCACACCATATTATATATGTAGTGTGGGAACATTCATGTGTGCTCCTTTTACTCTGCTCTAGAGTTTCTGTCTTTCCACGTATTGGAAAATAGCTAAAAATAGTGATTGTTGAATGACTAAAATGTCAATATTTTCTATGTGATGTAAGAAAATCGTATTTTTCCTGAAACTTACTCATGAAAGAGACATTCTGAAACTGATAATAATTACAAATAATTAATTTACTTTGACAACTCATGTGTTATTTCCCTCATTGTAGTATCATGTTGTATCTGTACTAAACTTGCCTCCATCAGGTTTGCCATTTGAGCATATATGTACATGTATGGTCTGGTGCAATAGAAGCTACTATAAATATTTAGATCCTGCTGAAAGTTGTGAAATCCTCATGTAGTAAATATTTTTTAGATTCTCAAGTGGGCCATGAGTTGGAAAAGGTTGGGGACGGCTGCTTAAAGAGTTTTAGAGTGGAAAGAAAGAAAGAAGTGCAAAATGTCAAACTATTCCTTTAAAAATTCACAGGCTGGTGTTAACATTTATTTAGGCCAGTACTCCATGTTAATGTCTTCCATTTGCTCTTTTGAAGGAGTGGGTGAAGCCTGTATTCAACGAGTACGATTACCTAAAGATCAACTCACACGTTCAGACGATGAGCGAGAAGCAACACGACATCCTCCAGTGGAACAACGAGAAGCAAAGCTACGGCGAGGACCATGAGACCAAAAAAGGTGGTCACTTCCTCCATATGCTGCAGCCTCACAGCAACTTGCTGCTGCACTTCCAGGACCGGGACAGTTCGCAGGGCACCAGCCACTCTGAGGGACACATCTCCATCCATACTGTAACCCTGTCTGGAGAAGAGTTCGAGGAGGAGGTCATGTCACAGAGCTCCGTGAACACCCTCAGGAGTTTCCAAGACGGAGAAAGCTTTGGTTCATTTGAGGAAGACAACAGAGCGCACGCTGGCTATGATTTAGGGGGACCACAGCTGTCCAGCATGGACAGACAAAGTGGGGTATTACCACAGCATGAGAACCAAATATCCAATCAGTTATCAGTGGAAAATATAAACTTTCAGCCACACGCCCAGTTTCATGAACCAGAGAGGCTATCACTCGACTCGTTCGCCTCAAACGAGCAGTCAGAAGACGGCTACCCCCATGTGGACTTGGACACCATTGACAGTGGTTTTGTAGAGTGCAGCAGCCCTGGGGCCTCGGACTCAAACACAGGAGAAAACATAGACTCAGATTTATTTCATGAGCACCAAAACTTAAATTCTAACTACGTCAAGCAGTGGATGATATGTAACACTATTCAGGAGGACTCCAGCAACGCAGAGAATGAACTACGGGAAACACCGTGATTATCGCTGCTGGTTTAATGACACAATTACAGTTTGTAGTTTAAAACATGGGGACGTCGTTGACATTTTCACAAAAGATATTTGAATTAAAAGAAGATTCTAGTTGTCCGGTCAGCACATAATCCTGTATGTCTTGTTCATCTTGAAATGTTGATCTGTGCACTTTTTACTTTGTATGTAAATAGTCATGTTCCTTTGTCTGTGCTTTGCTTTTGAAAGACCATTCAAAGAGTGTGCCAATGTAATAATCTTCTCTTTTTCTAATTGTCTTTTACGCTAACCCATAATTCATCAAAACAAATTTTAAATGTATCTATTTATTAATAGATCATAGTAAAAATTATATTTTATTCTAATGGAACACTTCATAGACGACAACACAGGATCAAAACGTTGCACACTGCCTTGGTTCATACTGCTGGAGAATGTCTTTTGTCACTGTATTTACAGCTTCATGCTCTCATGGTCATGCATGCTTCATTAGCCTGTGCTGCAGCCTTAGCATGCCTGCTGCCTTATCAAGATGTCTGATAATGTTTGTTTTCCTTGTATATGCATTTTGTCTGTAACCACTGTAACCATCCATCCTGTTTTGTGCGATGTCAGTAAAAAGCAAACTGGAACAAAGTAGAAACATTGACCTCATTCATCAGAGGGCGTTTGTTGTCTTTCACCAAATGCCATTTATTAAGTTACTGTACATGCACAACTAAGGAAGTGCAACCGTGATATTTTACCCTTCCCCTGGAAAACTCGTGGCTAAAAAACACAGAAAAAATGGATTGGCTTTTAGCTGTTCTGGGCCAATGTTATGTATTTTTTTCCTATTCTTGACAAATTTGTTTATGACATTACATCATGATATATTTAAATTGTCAAGGTACATATTTATCAGGTTTTGATGGTTATCTTTAACTGATAATATCAAACAGTGAGTGTCTGAGGGTGGATTTTTCCTACTGAAAGGGCTCCTGATGGGTCCTGTAGTGGGAGGGGGAAGTGTGTCTCATTTACTTTCCATATCCTGAGTTTCCCTGCCAGCTAAGGCCTCACACAGTTGCTTTTTAAAGTCTGTTTCTTCATCCTACACCAGCCTACCTGTTTCTGTCTACACTTTCCACACAATCCAGTTAATAATCATTTTTGATCATGTAAATAAAATCTGTATTCACACAGAGTGCAGAGTGTAAGCACAGTGACATGTATGATATGATATTGGCTCTGTGCTGCATTACAATGAGAAAGTGCTTAATGTCAGCCTTAAGGCTGATAACAGATTTCCAGTTATGTGTTTTGAATTTTTTGCAGCTCATCATTTTCTCTCCTGTTAATGCATGTTGTCTCTCAATCTGGCCTCTTTCTGTCTTCCCCTTTATCTCATGCAAAGGTTTTTTGGTATCAAAAGCTGCACATACACCACTGTGCATCACTGTATCCTGTGATGTCACATGCAGTGTAATTTCAACAGTCAGGATAAGAGATCTAAAAGACTTTGTTTATTCAAAACTTGCAATTTAAACTTTTAAACAACAAAGGAAAAAAAAGGAAAAAAATATTAAGAGATGATATTCTAAATTCAAAAGGTTCAGCAACCCTGTGACGTCATAATGTTCTGCAAAAACCCTTTTCTGGCCATTATTCAGCGCCGTAACTCTGGAACAGAGCGGGAGATAGTGACCATATTTCACATTTGGTGGGATACTGACTTGGTGACAGTAATCTTGGTTGTCCACCTTGAAACTTGAAAGCCAAAAAAATACTATAAATACCTTTTATTAAATCCTTTCAAAGTCTTCACTACGTACAGTATATTATATGAGTCTGGACAGACATGGATGTAAACTGCATACAATCGTGAGGCAGTAATTCCAGGTTATTATTTTGTGGGTTTTGCACATCAACAATGAGGACATAATTGTAGATATCAATAATGATCAACCATCTGAAGCTTGCCACATGTCTGTTTAGTGTCAGAGTGTCCAGAGGTCTTGATTCAGATTCTGTGCCAGTTGTTCCACATGAGGTTTAAATGTAACACTACTACTAATGAAATTCACAGATATTTATAAGAGTGAACAACTTCAGTGTAAGTACTATTAAGTGTTTGGACAGTAGGAAGATGTAACATGGAATCACAGGTTCATGAGAATAAAACACTTTTTTGTCTTATCAGCATTCAGTACAAGTTTTAGGTTTTAGATTTACTTTCATGGTTGGAATTGTAGAAGAGCCATGTGTATACAAGACTGTATCATCTGCATAAAAGTTGATATTGAAAGTCTGTGTTGGAATAGTAATATTGTAAATGTAGATTTTAAATAATGGGATCAAGCAAAAAAAACCTTGTGATAGCCATTTGGTTTTTAAAAGGTAGGTTGATGTTCTATCAAGTGAAAATAGCCATGAAACCACTTCTGACATGACCATTTAATAATAATTTCTTAATAATTTTAAGATATTTACAAAGTGCTTAAACAAAGGACATAAGAGACAGTAATAAAATGACATAAAATTAAAAGTCCTAGAGATAAAGGTCAGTTAAAAACAAGTTTAAAAAAGTAAAATTTTCACTGGAGTTTCAAAGAATTATACAGAGATAGTGGTGAGGATTGTGAAAATTGATTCTACAGTTTAAGCGCTATAACCAGGGCCCAGGGACAATGTTTTAAGTTTGGGGTGCTGTAGTGGGAGGAGCATTTTACCCCATCCCATACACATACAACATAGGTCTACAACAGTACTACAACGCACACACCAAAGAAGCAGCAGTAACAACAAAAGCAGCCAGGTCCATAAAAAAGGCTTTGCAATACACATTGCACGGCACACAAGCACATATCCAAATACGCACATTATTTCAAGAAAGGTATATCAGTGTGACGTTAAAAGTAACTGACAACTGAATATTAAACTGCTCAGCGGCAGCTTACACTACTGCACCATCAAATGCATGTCTCTATGGTAACCAACATGCCCAAAAACCCATTGCGCACGGCACATAAGAACATATCCAAAATACGCATATAAGTTATGTCAGTGTAACGTTAAAGGAAACTGACATCTGAATATTAAACTGCTTGGAGGCAGCTTAAACCAAATAACTTACCTTGAGCTGCAGACAGGCTGCTCCACTAGTTAATCATCCAAACGTGGCCTTGCGCTCAGGTGTTGTGGAAAGTCTCTCATCGGGGGGAAGGATGTTCAATTCAGTTTAAAATGTCAGTGTGGACATGCATCAGGGAGAGGGGAGTTTGTCTCTTCTGGGTCATGGTGTTGCCGAGGCCATGTTTTCATGATGCAAGGCGGAGAAGGTCCGTGATGAAGCCACTTCCATTTAGCGAAGCTGGTGTAAATGCACGGCTGAAAGTTTCTTTCCCAAAACGTCTGGCCGGAAGATTAAAGTTTAGTGGTTGAAGAGCTTCCCTTTACCTGCCAAGTCAAGCCCAGGCTGACACCTGTTAGCCGCAGGGGTCCTTAGTGGTGGGCGGTGCTAACGCTGGTAGTCCGGCGGGTGCCTGCGGCGACAATCTCCGTCCCCGAGGAAAAACTACAACCAAGCGAAATCGATGCTGGTGGAGCTGCTCTGCTGGGAAGGCTGGACTTCACCTGTGCTCTCTTTAGCTGGCGGTTCCCCTAAAAGAATCTGCAGTACGCTTTTCCTCCATTGTGATTTTATCCTTCCAGTGGCTATCAATGTTACAGCAGCCGGATGTAAACTTAAAAACGCTCCTACACAGTTGACAGGACCCGCCCTACACTGCCTCTGATTGGCTAATGATCTTTGCCCCCGCTGGTTGGATTGATTAGGGTTTGGCATGAGGAGTGAGAATGGTTAGAGTCCAGGTAAGAAGTCATTCTGAGGCGGAGTAGAAGTGGTTATGTTTACACTACAGCCCCCTAGTTCCCGCGGCCATGGCTATAACAGCACACCTCCCCTGGCTGCAGGTCTAAACTTGGGAACTGTTAGAAGAGATCTTGATGGTCTTGATGAATATGATGAATATTCTTTTCTTATGATTTCAGTGAAGAGCAGAGCAGCTGCATTTTGAGCCAGCTGAAGATGATTTAGTGCATTTTTCCTGAGTGCAAAGTTACAGCACTCCAAGCAAGATGAAGTAAAGCTCTTAAATAAGTTTTTCCAGGTTTTTCCAACAGCAGACAGAAAAAAGCTTGATTTCAGATATGCTCCTCAACTGCTAAAACAACTCTGAGTAACCCCTGAGCATGAAGCTAAGTTTACCATTCGTTCTGACGGTCAGACCAGCGGGGTACATTCATGTAGAATTATCTAAGTTTTATCCTTGATGAGTATAAAAACCATATGAATCAGGTGCTTTACAGTCACAAGATCACAACCCAGTTAAACACTTCAGTATCACAGTATGGGAGATTTTGGAAGTTACACAGCGCTCTTTGCCACTTTAGAAGAATGACACCCCCCCCCCCAAAACAAAAATACAAAAATAAAAGTTTTTTTGACAGTTGATTCTTAAAAACCTGTAATAAAAATTTAAATATAATTATAATCCACCACAACAAAATAATGTAACCCACAGTGACATGAAAAGACTATTTGAATGTGATTAATCACAATACTGCATTCTATATCAAATTAAAAAAACAAAACAAAAACTGGTCTAAAAGAGCCTCAATTGTTTAACAGGCGCTATGAACAGAGGCAAGAGCACATGCACAGAATGAGACCAGAAAAGAAAAAGAAACTTGTGACGTAAAGAGGTTTGACTTCCTGTGATACAACTGTTGATAAATTAAACCTCAGTTCCATCTCATTCAGTCTCTGAGACATCAACAGCACCAGGGCAGCCCCCAAGGTAATAGCATTTTTCCAATGACAGCACATCAGAGCACCCGTGACATTTTTTTGTCTTATTTTTCAAATAATGGAAACTCAAGCTATATTGTTATATTTGTGAATTTTTGTGTATTTGTCTTAGTCCTCTCACAGGTGAATGTTAGTGTAGACTGGATTGATAAATGTTTTGTATTACAGAAGCAGTAGATACAGTATAATAAGACATTGACAGAAGAAATGTTTTATTCATATCCACAGAGTGATACTCATCTCTATGGAAACATGAAGTGTCCGCAGCTCCTGTTCGTGTGTTGGTGCTCCAGCATCTTCGCAGTAACCAGCTGCTTCAGAGGTACTGTTTACTTGTCTGGATACAGAGATGCTTTTCTCTGAGATATTTTTGGGAGCAGCTTTAATAAGGCAGCTTATAGCATATCTCATCTTGTGGTCTGGATTTGTGTGACCTTCTTCCCCTTTGTACAAGTATTTGTGCACATGGGTCTGTCACACATTCCAGTTATCAACCACAGTGGGAGGTTCAAGGGAAATGTTTTACAGTAGATTAGAAATGTCAAGTAGCAATTCACATCTTCTGGTTATCATTGCCTTAAACATTTGAACATTTGAGTAATATTTTCACTACCCTAGTAGTGGAAAGTAACATTTACTGAAGTACTGTACCTCAGTACTTTTGTTCTGTGTATACTTATACATTCAAGAGAAACCTTGTAATATTTACTTACCTACATATATCTGTTGGCTGGAGTTGCCTTCAATCATTTCACTGCCTCTCAGATTTATCTTCTGACCCTGCACACGGGGTCCGACCCCTGGATTGTGAACCACTGGTCTAAACTACCTAACTGTAAAGTAATTAAGTAGCTCCACCTCGACCAGCTACAACTGTAAAAAGCTACCTATATAACAGTATAACACTGACAGGGGACTCTTTTCTGCAGATTTTGTTGTGGAGTATTTTTTATATTGTATCATTTTTACTTATACTTTAGAATCTGAAGTCTTTCCTTTTTAGAAATATTATTAATCGTGTCCAAATCTGCATGACATCAATCTTTTCTTCCCACATGTGTAGTTGATGGATATTCATGTATCAGTACGTTCAGGGACACGATTACCTGCGTCTTGAACATCACTGGTAATCCTGCGGGACCGTCCAACACCAACTACAGCCTGAATTTCACTGACATTAGGTAATTGCACTAATTGCAGAATTATATGAATCAATGATTATTACTCATACAGACATTAATGTTTGTGTTTGTGGCACATGATGTAAACATGTTGTTGTTCTGTTATTGTTTTTATTTCCCTTAGGATGTCCATTAATTACATTTGTCCACTTGTGCTGATGAATCACACTTACAGCTGTGTCTGTAAAGTCCTGAAGCAATATGGATTTAATAGTCTCTATAATTATACCATACAACTTTGTAATCAATCTGGCTGTCAATCTCTAAGAAAGGGTTTTGCGCCATCAAAGAACAGTAAGTATGAATTAATTTTACTTCGTACTGATCGTATGTGTCTGACAGATTGTGTGTGTTTGCAGCTGTGTCTACAGGTGTGTGTTTGGCACCCATAAAAGAATATAAGGGTATTATGATATCAAAGAAGTGTATTTTATTGTTCAGGAGAGAGACTGAAGAACAACTGTTAGGTAGGCTAATGTCTCTGCAAAGTGTATGGATTTACATATATGTGAATATGATTCAATCAATGTTTGTGATCAGTTCAGCTGACACCCCCGTATGATGTTAAGGCCCAACCAACGCCAGAGCATTTCAACATCACTTGGGCAAGTGGGTATGAAACCGAGAGGTACATCGGTAAATTCCTGGACTACGAACTCTTAATTCAAAGATCTCAAAGCAGTTGGAGCCAAGTAAGATTCACTGTCATAAATATCCATACTTTGATAACTTGTTTCGCTGTAATAAGATCTAACAATGATTGGTTTATTGTTTCCCCAGACTCTCAAATCAAGACTGCAGTTTGAATCCATCCTAAGATCACAACTTGACGCAGATGCTACATATTGCATTAAAGTGAGATCAAAACCTCCAGAAGATTTAGGTTATAAAGGATTTTGGAGTAAATGGAGTCCAACGACATGCTGGAAAACTGAAGCACAAGCAGGTAAAATGCCACTTTGTTTTTAGTACAAAAGCTTCATGGCTCTGACTCTCAATGATACCAGTGCATGTGCTGGTGTACAGGTGTATGTAAAGTCTGCTTCCTCCTGGCCTGCACTGTGAGTGAGGTCTCATTGTCTCTGAATTACGTGTATGTCAGTATCATCATGAACAAGTATTGTATATTATTGTATAGACTACTGTATGAATAACAGATTCTATAAGACCTAAAAAAATTTCTCACTTGCTACCTTTTTTTCTCACCACCTTCGTAGAATAGTACTTATAACTCATAGGCATCAGCCACCTAATAGTTTTACAGTCATCTCTGTAGTCTGACTCACTAATTCTGACTTATTTCATGACTCTTTCTCAGAACAAGGAAGTCTATTAGTCATTTTGACCAGATCTTTGGGCCCAGTGTGTTTGGTTGTTGGAGCTCTGCTGTTTGTATTCTACAGTCCTACTGCAAGGTAACTCATCTGCTCTTTGAAATGTTGGTGAAAGGGGAAATTTAAACTTGTCATAACAGATGTAATCTGCCCTGGATAATGATTGTGAGATGAGATTTGATCTTTCTGATCTTTCATGAATTTGTACAACAGGATGAAGATAAAAACTCTGTCCCACACACCATCACCGGCCCCTTTCTTTCAACCTCTCTTTCAACATCATGAAGGCAATCTGCAGGTGAGGTGGTAGGAAGATGTCCTCTCGGCCATTCTCAGTCTTATTGTCTGGTTTTTAGGAAAGTGAGGTAACTCAGGTTTTGATGATAACATTCAATGAAATGTAGTCCAGGTGTCTGTTGACAACAGTGGCCATCAGGGATATTTTGGTTGTCATTTTGTTGAGTTTCAATTCTGCTTTACTATATGAAGAGAATTACACATAAGGGATATAACATAATGCAGGACACAAAACAAAGCACAACACATAAGTAATAAATTCCTCAAAATCTAGACATGAAGCTGTTCTAAATGTGAAAGTTAGCATGCTAACATGCTCAAAATAGCAATGTTTATGCTAAGCAGGTGTGATACTTGCCATGCTAGCAGGTGTTTGTTCATACAACAAAGCATTGACCTGTATAAAAAGTCATCAAAATGATCAACAAAGTCATTACAATTAATCCTGAGGGGGTTAGGTTTAACATTAGGTTGGTGTATGTTGTGCAAGATGTGCTACAATACAAATAAGTCCTGTGACTTCATCACACCTCATGTATCCCCATGCTACTGAATTTACAGGAATGGTTTTCACCTCAAGGCAAATTTGCATTAACATACAAAACTGAGGAGAACATGATTACCAACGCTGTGACTGTTGTGCCGAAACCCATCACCAAGGATCCAGAAGAGGACCAGGACTTCCACAACCCTTCAGCACCAAAACTGGCATTCAGTCAGTGTCAAAGCTCATATGTTGGATTACCTGAGACACATGAGACTTTGAATCCTATGACTATGGTCTGCCCAGGGAACACTTCTTACACTCAGCTCCCTTGCTCTGTCTGGGGCTTAGGTAATGGAGAAGTACAAGTTTTTCCCTCTCCACCTCAAACTTTCTTAGAGATTAGCCGTACGGACTCTGGTTGCAGTTGTGAGGACCTGACCCAAAGCCTAGAGTGCAGTTTACCCAACAGTCCTGTTAATGAGAGTTCACCACCATGTTTCAGTACTGATTACTGCATTCTCAACAAAACAGCAGAAGGTGTTGTTCCTGTTTTAGTGACCAAATGAAGAACCCAAATGTTCCATCTGATTCCCAGCGAGAGGATGAGAGCTAAGAATAAGAAACGATCCTGTCAATTGGTTTGGAGAAAGAGAAATTCACAAGACTGATGACACTGATCACAATGGCTGTATATTTGCATCGTAAAAAGCACCTGGTGACAAACTTAGCTACTTTCCGTAGAAGAGAGTCACCTGTATTCCCCTCCACAGGCACACCTGTCTATGCTGACCACAAGGCAGTGCATGTGAAGGAGCTTGTAACTTTCTCTCTGACTGAACATTTCACAAGAGAAAGCTGCCCAAATCACAGCACAGCTGTTGTCTATAACTTATATACATATGGTGATTTTTATAGATAATGTTGTGGTTATAAAATCAGGATTTTGGCAGCAGAGCAGCAGCTTGGAAATGGCTTGGAAGTGACCGCTGTTAAGATTCAGTCTTAATGCTCAGTCACTGTTTCATAGCTGTTCTGATGTCTGACAACAGAAACAGAAAACATGTAAATGATAGCAGCTTTATTGGGAATTTGTCTGTATTAAAATACTATTTTGTTTGCTCTTGTTCAAACATCATGTGTGTTTTATGTTGCCTCCAGCTTTTAACGAAGAAGAGAGGAACTTTGTTGCTTTTTTTATTTGCTTGAGAGAAATGCTTTAGTTATTTGCTGGGCCATCATCCATCTTTGAATTGTTCAATTGCTGGTATTGATCAAGGGTGCGGTGGAAACTACAGGGTTATTGAGAGGCCAACTTCTCCTAAAATAAACAGGATGGAGCAGATGCTCATGATGTACAGTATTTCCCTAAGGTGATCAATAAAGTTTAATTCCAATATTCCGATATTTATTTCTCTATTATTTATTTCATTATTATTAGTAAAATACTATAGGCCTGATTAAGAAGAAATTAAGGAATAATTGTTTGAGACATACCCATACATATGGAGAGTTTATGCTTCGGGTCAGAAGAAATCTATAAAATCTTTCATTTATGTTCATAATGTGTGTAACTATCACTCAGTGTGTTGGACTGGGCTGTTTTAAAATAATCATAAAAAATACATTCCATTTCCATAAATCCTACAAAGTACCCCGAGCTTCAAAGTCTATTCTTGACCTTGGAAACAGGGAAATATGTAGCCTCTAAAATGGCCATACAATTCAACAGCAAAATGCTGCTCACTTACAATTGCACTTTTACATCCACATTGTTTCATAACTTGATAAATTGTTTCATTTAACAGCCACAGGCACCGAAACCTGCAGCTCCACAATAATTCAGTATTTGGCCAGTGGAGTTTTATTGGTCTGCCAACCTCAATGACACATAAAAAATACAACAAACGAAAAACAAACAAACAAACAAACAAACAAACTAGGTAATAAAACTCAGAGAGTGAGGCATTAAGAAATAAACTCATGAGACAGGGCAGGAATGAAATTTAAAATCACTGGACAGGATTTCAGGGAAATCAGAAGGGGGTTGTTGGGTTATATAGACCTGTGGTTCTCAAACTATTTCACATCAAGAACCCCTAAGACAGGACACCAGTTAGACTATTGACCCCCATCATAAGATGTTGTCCAAAGGTCCCCCATCACATAAGGTTGTTTGCTTTTAGATGTTTGTTTTTTTACAGAACGTGTTTGTAACTGATCGGCACATTCCGTCATTGTGTTACTTATGAATGGAATTATATTGAAAATAATATATTCCGCTTCTTGCTGGGAACTCCCAAGACCTCACATGGAGAACCACTGACGGAGTAAACAGCATTCAGAGGACAGAATAATGCTGTGATTCTGCACACTGCGACAAACTAGGTGGCGCTATGTACCTTTAAAGTTGGTTCACAAAGAAGAAGAAGAAGAAGAAGAACCAGAAGAAGAAGAAGAAGAAGAAGAAAAATAAGAAGAAGAAGAAGAAGGGAAAGTAGCTAGCTGGCAGTAGTAACTCGCATTGACTTGAGTGTGGTTAATTGTCTTAGTTGTTGTGTTCGGCCTGAACTAGCTGTCAGATAGTATTTGTGGCAGCTGTAAGCATTTAAACACCAAACTGTGACTGTGGCTTATTTCTCCTTCACATTTTTTTGTGTCGTTGTTTTTGGGTCGCTCGCTGGCAAGTGAGCAAAAAGAAACCCGTGAGAGCAGTGTTGTCATCTGTGAAGTGTCGACTCCGTGAGTGAGTAACGATGAGTAGTAATAATAATAGCCACGACCTGCCTGCTTTGCCCCCGAGTTTGCACAACGAGGACGAGGCTCTGGCCATAGAGAATGCCATCAGGGCGGCTATAAACACTGTGATGAACGTGATCTGCAGCGCTTGCAACCGCAAAGTGCTGGAGTACCAGAGGATGGTGGCCGACAGGGACAAGGAGATCAGGAGACTGGAGTGCAAGTTGGAGAAAAGTGAGAGTGAGTTAAAGATGTTGCGTGCGGAGGTAGACAGGAGGCAGCCAAATGACCAAAAGACAAATGAGCCTGAAGTCAAATCAAGTGGTGAGTAAAATCAGTTGATGTAAAATGAATTGGTTAAAAAAACAAAAAAACAAAAGCCAAGTGGAGGAACAGGTGACACAACATCTCCCCGCCGCAGCTACTTGTGGATGTGGTCGTCAAGTCCACCCACCCATTGTTCTATCCGCTTATCTGTTTATCAGGCGTTGGTGCAGCAACACCCACACATCTTTCCCCGAAGTGCCATGACACGATGGAGGCCTTTCCCCACCAACATGCCCAGACTGAGACACCTTCATGGGAAGGTGAACGAGCAGCTGGATGCCAGCCCTTTAGGTGCATCACCTCCCTGGTTAAAGAGGAGCCCTCTGACTTGGAGACGGTCATCAAGTGGGAAGTGTGTGAGGGGAGTTTGCTGGACCAGCAGGAGGGTCAACGTGGAGCCGAAGATCTGCATAAAGAAAAGCCTGCAAGAAAAGGTAAGCTCAGCTGCTGCTGTTGTCGTGACGATTAACCTCAGTCTCGTGTGTCTGCAAAAGTCAAATCTGCAAAACACAGATGAGGCTGCTGCAGTTGAAAATACCACTGGTGCCATGATGAATGTGGTCAATGCTATCAGTCTCCTGATCTTTGTTCATAATATCAGATCATTTTGAAATGAATGACTTCACTAGGTTCAGAACAGGTGATACATCTCCCTCCCACACAACTACAGGGTTTAGTCTCATGTGGTTGATAAATTGGTAAATGCGAATAAGAAGATAATAAATTGACAGATAACACCCCCCCCCCCCCCCCCTTGCCACAAATTTTTACCCAACTACTTCAGCCACGCTTCATGCATACAATCAAGTGTAACATAATGGATTTCTTTCTGGAGAGACTGGAAGTAGTGTATGCTCCCATCATCTCCCTTTGCATGGTTCATTATATTAAGACAACGGAGGCAGTGTGGTGCATTTGAGTGTGGCCACTGAGAATAGGTATTTTTGCCTTTTCAATGTGGTCAGAATACATTTTGTACAACCTAGCACTCAATGCATGTGACATTAAAACAGCAATCAGTACATCACATACATCACTAATTCCATACAACACTCTAGTAATCGTTGTACTGTACTCTTTTTGCAGTTAGTGTACAAGAAATCAACACAGTGGGCTTCGAAACTTTTGGACCACACTGTATTTCACCATCTTATCCTGACAGGCAGTAATACAATAAAAATGTGGGATATACTGCCATAAAAACCTCTCAAAAAATCGGCAAAATCTTTTTATTTTGTTTATTTATGTGTTCTGAGTCGTTCCTAGAGCGATTTCACCACCATCCGTAATTAGTTAAGCACTAATTTCTAGAGGGCTGGGTGATAAAACAATCTTGATAAATGATGAAAAACATTCCCATAACAACGATGACAAGCTCATGAGTAATTTATGATAAATGTATCGGTTCATTATTTCGGTCACCCCTCATCTCCATCTGTTAGGTTACTAATAGATTTATTAGGGGAAATATAGCTAACACAAAGAGCCTAAATGGGGGAAAAAAACATTAATAAACTAAACTAAAATCATAGTAAAAATCCCCACAGCAGTCACTCCTGTCTGCCGTTACTGATCTTTTCTGTGATAGGAACCAGACCAGTGCTAGTTTGTCACTTTATAAATGCCATTTTTGTGGTTGACCTTTTGCGTGATATTTACGATATTTATTGTTGCTGTTACCTCGTTGAGTTGTAAGTGTTATTCCATGTTAGCTGCGGAGAGTATCAAGTATTTGTACTCCCTGAACTTCAGACTGAAGGTGCCAAGTGTGTGTGTAAACAAACAAGTTATGTTCATATTTAGTGTCCTTCTGAATGCAAATACATCTATTCCTGAGTACTACTCCAGATTGTAGGCTGTTGGAGGCACAAACCCCAGTGATGTCAGACACATCAGCAAAAAGCTTAACTTGTTTGTCGGAGTCATATTCCTAAATATCATAACTATAATGTACTTGCCTACTATTTACATTCAGAAAGCACCTGAACATTAATGCTTCATTTAGCTATGTTCCCTTTTTCTGGAGGAAGACCTGAACCCTGAACATTTTTCTAAGAATTGAGTTTTTTTGGTTGGTTTTCTACGAACTGTGCGTGTGCGGTTTCTGTTTCTGACTGACAATGATAAAACTGCTTCCTGCTGTGTCCTTTACACCTTTAGAGGCCAGCCATTTCAGCGAGCTGTGTCTTAAGATTTTAACAGTGGATTTGTAGAAGAGCAAATAGCATGGTGGCTGCATTCCCCCATCATCGTGTGCTCTTTGTGTGTTCAGGGCTGATAAGAGAACTACTTCAGTCCCCTAGTGTCCTAAGCCCACTGGAGCACTGTTTGCCACTCCGCTTTGCTGTTCCCAGGTCAGACATACACAGGACAGGAGTTACTTTACAGCCGTGGCGAGAGGCATTGTGTTCCCTAGTTGTCCGTCCATCTGTCCATGCATCCCATTATTGGGAACGTGATATCTCAGAAATGCTTTGAGGAAATTTCTTCAAATTTGGCACAAATGTTCAGTTGGACTCAAACATGAACAGATTACATTCTGGTGGTCAAAGTCACTGTGACGACACAGAACACGTTATTGGCCATAACTCAAGAATGCACGCGCTAATTAACTGGAACTGGACAGGTTGGCGGCGGCATACATCTGCAAATCGGTGTTTTGCTGTTCTGAGATGCAACATCAGTTTTTGAATGTATTCAAGTATGTAACTTTGTCGATGGAAGTGATCATAGAAGAGTATTGCATGTTGTAACAGGAGTAAAATATTCTGATATGCTCCCAGGCTTTGGATAAACAGGCGAGACTTGCTTGTTATGGTTCTAAACAATCATTTATTTTCGAGAGTCAGCCACTTTAGCACCTGAAACATGTTTTTTTCCTCCGTTCTGCCGTCATGCCTTTTGCTATAGAAAATAAAATTGCACTTTCTGACTTTTAATGACTTAAAAAAACAGACATGAAGAACTCCTGCTGGTGTTTGAGATTGTTTTATTGCCAAGCCCTACAGCAAGCCTCGTCTTTTAATGAGCAAACAGCTGTTTTGTGTGATATGTTATTACAGCCATTCATATATTTATTGATACAAAAGTGTTTTTCTATGGAGTTTGTGCAGCATCGGGTTGATATAGCTGTGTTCCATCCTTTCTCTGTCTGGTTTTCGAGCTCTGTCAATACTCCTGTGTGCACATGAACTTTGTTGTTGTTCAGCACGTGATGTAACGACTTCCCTCCACTTCAAGTAGCAAGAAGGAAGATCAAATCACTGCTTTTGAGACACTAATTTTAGTATCCAGACACAACGTGAGAAAACAACCTCCTGCAGCTGATGGCTGTGATTACACCGTGTGATATTTTACTTGGTTTTTGACAGAGATGGTCAAATTTTAAATGAGTTTTCTTGAATTGAAAAGCATTTTGATTTACATCAGGAACTAATTCATCGAAGAATAAGTGAACAAGATGATGAATCTGATTTAGAAGTTTGTGGCCAGCTTTTGGTACTTGACAGTTGTCTATACTATATGCAATGAAAGAGGTTTCAGTTGGTACAGTACCAACAAGTCTACAGCCATGCTAGCAGTGCTGTACCATGGACATAACGGTGTTGAGCTAAAAAAGTATTGATATCCAGCTGTAGTGAAAATTTGTCCTTTCCACGTCCCTTCCTCAGTCTGGTATTGGTGCTTATATTTAACACAGTGAAGGTCTTTGCCGTTTAATTGAGTTTTGTGCGACTAAAATACTTTCAAGGATCGAATCACAATTTCAAATGTTTTTTGAATGCTAATCTGAACAATCTCAAAATCTTGCTTTGCAGACACGCAGGCTGAATGTGAAGCAAGAGCTGCAAATCCTCAGATGAATGAGCCGACGACAATAGAAGAGGAAGACGAACCCGGTGGTAATCTAAAAAGGAAAGGCAGGTAAAGTTTTTTCTATCTTAATAGAATAATCAGATATACATACAAGTGGTTTCTTTGATAAGTAGAAACCCAGAACCAGATTCTGTATTTGCAGCGAATTCTCAGTGTTATGTTGTCTGATGATTATTCTTGAAGGAAACGGTGACATGTCATTGATGAAGTTATTTTCTGTTTCAAACTCTTTATTTTGAATCAAGGGAAAGAAATGGATGCCAGCTGCCTGACAGTGAGGAAGACGATGTTATTATGAAGAAACATTGTGCGACTCAGCGATCTGCACCTAAAACAACTGCTCCAAAACACAGTCTGGGAGATATCAGCCCACCACAGCCACAGGGGCACAGCTCCAATGGCTCCGTAACATCACACTTTACTGCACAAGACCCTCTAGCATGTCAACAGCAGACATACATCACCATGACAGCCCCACAACCTACATGTGACCGTAAGAATTAAAAACCTTTGTTTGTTTTTTGCTGTTGTTATCACCAGTTATTCTGTGTTTTAATAATAATACTATTCCTTTAGTTCCAACAAATCCAACAGAAAGATGTCTTTTCTCTAGTGGATCACTCTGATGGGGATCAGGCCTAAAAAAAACTGAGGACATCCCAAGTTTCCAGTTTCAGTTCATACACCTTTAAGGTTAATCCAACAAATACAGTTACCATGGTCAGGCACAACCTTAAAGGTCCCATGTTGTATGAAGTGAGATTCCCATGTCTTTTTTGATTATAGATCAGCTCTAGCTTCTATATTAATACTGTGAAAGTATCAAAGCCTCAGTCCACAGAGAAATGCACACAGCCTGTATTCAGAAACTGAGCCTTAAAACCAGCCGTCAGGACTTCTGGAACTTTGTGATGTCACAACAAAGCAGCCACCAAGCCCCGCCCACCTGGACCCACCATCCAAACCTTGCAGGATTTGTTGTTTTTTTTGGTGTGTTTACCTGAAATCTGCTATATTTTTATTTGATCAATCAGAGCTTCGTCTCTTCTGATTGGCTCACTGACCTGTTGTAACTAGAGCTTCAGAGAGAAGCCTGAGAGAGCAGATGTAAAACTACACTGAGGGGGTTTTTTGGTACTTAAAACCACAAATATATCTTCCTATGGTAGGTTGTCTGCTGCCATCCATCAGTCACAGCTGGCACTGAATAATAAACAAAAAATTATCTAGTTTCTCACAAAACTTGAGCTGTTGATCATGCTGTATTAAGAAGTTTGTTCTCCTGTCTTTTAAAGCAATACTTCTAGAGGTCCTTGTTTCACTGGAGACAATCAAACAGCAAAACACCACTGTTCTTCAAATACTGCAGTCAGGAAATTCATCTGGAGCGCCGCTCTGTGAACCTCCAGATGTCGGGACACTTCCGCTTCCACTCCAGTCAGTGCAGGACTTAAGAAGTTTGGAACAGAGGCTCTCCGCTGAACCAGAGCTGAAGAAAAAAATGGTAAGAACTTGTGACACGAGCTCGACCTACAGTAAGTATAATGACAGTGGCAGTCAGCGACAATTCATCTCAGTAGTTAAACTGTTCAAAAGAAACGGAAGTTCCAAATTCTAAGCTAAGATAACCATCTCTTGGCTGTATTTTCATATTTAGCATACACGCAGAAGAATGCTATAAATCTTATCTGACTTTGGGCAAAAAGTTCCCCAAAAGCTGAAACTATTCCTTTAAAGTTCATGAGGCTGCTGATAAGCTTTTTGTGTTTTGTGCATATCTTTTGTAGCATGAGAGGTTGCAGTTCAAATTTCTACATCTTTGGATCAGTGAAGTATCATTCTCGGTCAAGATATTAATAAATTAATCACTGATTTCAAATGTTTGAGCTTTTAGAATTTTCCTTAGAGGCTTTTTCTTGTTCAAAACCTTTAATTGACATCCACATTTTATTTTTGAAAGAATGCTACATACCGCATATCACAATTAAATAATTTACCACAACATAATACTACTCAGACCTCATACCTCGGCCTGGCTGGAGGGATGACGACCAAAGAGAGTGTCTGGAGGATAATGGCCAAGCTTTTTACCAACACTTTGGCCAAAAACATTAACTGGAGGGGAAGAAATAACAAGCAGAAGATTGAGAACCTCACCATAAAAAGAGTTATCCTCAGTGAGTATGCTGTAACTTTTAATCAATGATTTGGCAAGAACATACCTTTAAAGCATGCAAAAGAGGCGGGCGATGTGTGCAATAACCTTGAATAAAAATGTTAGTACATAAAGTTTTGACAGACTTTGAACCTTTCCCTGCACCCCTCCTCTCCTGCAGATGCAGTCAGGCAGAATTCATTCTGCAAGGACGCAGTGGACGAGGAGATAGAGAGATACATGAAGCGCTGGCTGCAGCTGGCGGGAGACAGAGATGGAGGACGAAAAAGACGACAGGAAAAGGGCAAGGAGGCAAACAGCATGCAAGATTACTGTATGGATGAGATGTTTACTAATGTGATAGAATAGTAGAAACACATGCTGTATCCGACATACAGTGAATATCCACATGACTGAATCCACTTCTATCATCTCGTCTGTAATTACAGTAACACAGAACTAACAAAACAGGTCCATGGCCAGATGTAGATGCGCACACGCACGCACGCACGCACGCACGCACGCACGCACTCACTCACACAAAACTACAGCTACTCTTCTTTTTAGGAATTCTGAGTCTTGTATGTAAAGTAGGTACTGATGACTGAAAACACTAATAACTACACTTCTTCTTCAACATATAATAAATTGCAAGAGTTGCACGATTACTATTATTTTTGTTGTTTTCTAGAGTTCAGTATTCATTGCACTTATACTTTAATTTTTTATCATTTTTTAAATCATTTAATCATATTTTGATATTAGTTTGATGTAATCAATCATATTTATTTCATTTTACTCCAGAGAATGTATTATTTGCATTCATTGTTAGTAGACCTCATAATTCTAAATGGCATTGTTAAAACATTCATCTGAGGAATATTGTTTAAAAAAATATAAAGGGAGTTATGTCCGTTTAAATGATGTATGTATGTGCAATGTTCTCTTACAGGAAATGTATTGCAGGGAGTTTATTGTAAGAACTGTTACATTGGTGATGCCAATAAAATCCTGTCTTTTTGTTTCTTTATTTTTATCCATTGTCGTCTTTTTAATTGGATAGTTCCAGTACAGAATACAATACAGTGCTCGTGATAAACGCACAGAGGAAATTGCAATAGTATGAATGGGGACAAGATCAAATGCTAAACTGTGAACCAAGATACAGCATATGGCATTTATTGCACATGGGACACATGAAAACCTTGAATCTGATGCACCTAATTTTTAGAAACTTAGAAACAATGGATTTAACTTTAAATTTGCCAGCTACAAGTACAAACTAGGAATAAAATTCTTGTCCATTGTCAAATGCAAATTTGAATATATATTGCTGAAACCTCAATGAATCATTTGGTTGATAGTTAAATTAAACAGCAATTCTGATAACTGATTAAAAAAATTCCAGCTTCTAAAATGTAAGGATTTGCTGCTGTTCTGTGTTCTCTTCAATATAAATTGAAATAGATTTTTGAGTTGTGGACTGTTGGTTGGAAGCTAGGTAACCACAAATATATAACTATTATGCATATACAAGTAGGTGAAAAATAGATGCATACATGAGTCAATATGAAAAGAACAATGGTAACATACAGTATATATTGTACATCTATATAACTTTCTGTAAATTGTACTGGAGAATTGACTAGTGCAGAGTGCAAATATGAGTTATTAATTTAAACATTTATTTGCAGCCGTAATTCAAATATTTTTTATGCCCATACAATCACAGATAGGACATGTAAAAAATAGACTGTAAGACAGACTTGAAAAACGGTGAACCTGTCCTTTAATATCAGTGTAAGCAGTCACTGTGCACCACCACTAGGTGGCACTGTGGCCGCCCAACCAACATCCACAGCCGCTGAACCGAAGAAGTGAAGAACGCAGGAAACAACCCTGTAACTCCAGTGCACTAGATCCAGCGTTAGTTGAATGGAAAGTAGATGTCTCACTCTGATTTGCTTGGGGCTGTTTATTTTACAGTAAAGCGTTGGAGTCGTGGGTTTAATGTGAGCTCTGTGTTTGACAAGCGTGTGCGCGGGGTGGTGTCTTCATTGAGCCGCAGCGTCTTATAGCCTAGCATTCTTAGCTAGTCTGTTAGCTTGTTGACATCAAAACAGTTCGATTTAAAAGATGAATTTGGTCAAAAACAGAACTTTGCACCCACAACTGCGCGACGAGGAAACTCTGTTGGTGGAAAACGCCATCCGGTTGGCGATAGACTCGATAATAAACGTGCTGTACGGTGTCAACAGCGCCAGGACTCACGAGTACCAGCGGATGGTGGCGGACAGGGACAAAGAGATCCAGCGGCTGGAGTGCAGGCTGAGGGAGATAGAACACGAACTGCAGGTGCTCCGCAGACAGGGATGCACCTGCGGGTTGTTTGGAAACGAGCACAGCCTCGCGGGGTCACAGGCCTCCGGTGAGCGGCAGAAGGGAGAGCAGAGCGGGTTTGAACCAGGTTGCATGGACACCGAGATGACAGCAGGGCAGCAGGAGTGTGAAATGAGCATCTCCTGTAAGTAAACATGAATACACCCCTTACTGATTCATATATTCAAGAATGTCCAAGGGTGGAGAGAGTGCTATATTTTCCACATGTATATGAAATGAATGAAATGTCTTATTACTCCTTGTTCTTTTTGTTGACACTGGCATCTTTACATCTTAATTATTGTCCTTTATTTTATTGTAGACAAAACCCAGCTTGGTCAACGGTAATGAAAGTGAATGTAGTTTGTTGCTTACTGGTCTCCTTTCTTCACAGTGGGTCTTTTTGGAAGACCCCCCTCACATGTCTCCTCCCAAAGCCAGGAGTCAGTTCCTCCATCATCCCCCAGCAGAATGTGCCTGGACCAATCCTGCACCTCCCACTCCTCAGAGACTTCAGGTGTATCAGAGGCAGCCAGAAATCTGCCTACATCTCCCAGCAGCCTCGTAGTCAAAGAAGAGCCCTGCGATATCGACACAGTTTTAATCAAGTGGGAAATGAGTGAGGAGAGATTCGGGGAGCATCAGGAGAGCACAGGCAGTACATGTCAGGACGAAAGCAGCCCAAATCTAAAAAGTAATGTATCCTACTTTTAATTCCTATTAAATATTAACAACACATAGATATTACCATGAATATGTAATTAATATCTTCTTTTTATTTAAAGAGTTTACTTATGTTGCATGTTCTGTAACATTAGGGCTGGGTCACAAACCTCCTCGAACCTTGAATCTGGACTGAAATGCGTCTGCAGCACAGAGTTTTCTGCAAAATACTTGATCAAGTTCTTTGGATTGTTTATTTATTCTTTGATCTGATATTTTAAATAATAGTTATTCACATTTTAAACCATATTTTACGTAGGGAATGTTCTTACATGGCTGCTTTGTTGAGCAAGAATTAATCACTGATGTATTAGAGATTTTTTTTGTCTGATTTTCTTAAACAGAAAAATCATGTTCACCAAAGTGAGGTACCAAGTTTTAGCACCATTTCCAGAAACATTTCCAGACAATACCCAGCCCGGTGTAACAGTGTTGAGAAGAGAAGAGTCTTAGCTCAGTGTCATCACTGTAAAAATGTGTTAGCATGGTTTTTGGTATTGCATGACAAAGAAATTGTTCCTCTCCCTTTAGAAAAACAGGAGAACAGAGAGAGAAAAAATTTCACGGAGAAACCTCAAGCCGACCCAGACGGACAACAAATCACAGAAGGAGAACATCTGAGGTGAGTTACTGCACCAAATAACAGTCACCTACTAAAGGTTGTTACCTGTTTAGTAAAAGGACAGAATCCACAATAAAATGAAAAATTAGTCAAATGTAGGTGACACATTTCAACTAACAGGCAAGGTGTTGTTGAAGAGTTGCGCTGCAAGGGTTTCTTTCACTTATTAATTTGTGTTTTTGTTTTTGAATAATTAATAAGTTTATAAAATGCAGTCACATTTTGTCAGAGTCAAACATGATTAATTTTTAAACCATAAAAAGCAGCTGACACCAGCAAATGTTTTTACAATTTTGCTTGATAAATGACTTAAATGATGATTTTTTTTCTGTTTGACTAATCAGCTGACTGGCTAATCGCTTCAGCGCTATTGAGGAGGTAGAACAGTAGCATCAATAGACCAGAATGCCTTGCATGCCCCTAACACTCAACTGTGAGTGAAAGCACAACGTTTTCTGGGGATAACAAAGAGGGAAGTGGGCTCACAAACTAAACACTTGAGCACAAAAACTCCCAGGGTGCACCGAACACCATCACTTGATTATCTAATAGTGTATAGAGTATTCACAGTCTGCTACTTTGACAGATCTTGCATTAAGGACCACCAAACACTAATGACTCGCAAGCTGCAGCATGCGCCGGTTGATACCGGTAGCCATTCAGCACTGCATGGTTACATGAAGCAGACTACAGCTGTACAAATTCTTCCTTCACATTTAAGTAGTTTGCAAGTAACAGATTTGTCATGGTGGTGTCAACACATTCCTGCTAATCACATTTTTCCTTTAATGCCTACTACACTTGGAAAGTTGGTAAATATTTCCCTCCAACATCCTGACAGTGAAGAGTATGTGACAGCAGATATTACTGACCTTGTAAAACATGTAAATCTGCTCATTTGTCAGTTATCTTGTAAGTTTAATTAAGAATAAACTATTGTATTTGCACATACATTAATTAAAATTAGTGAATTTTAAATGCTTGGTGAACTGAATACCCACTCATGTGTGCGAGATCCTTTCTCACCTCTCGACCTCCCCAGGAACAAGAAGAAGACGGTGCCGATGTCCGAGCTGCCGGAGGAGGCTCAGAGACAGAAGAGGGCAGCCTGGAGAGCAGCATCCAGGCGGTACTACGCCCGCAAAATAGCCCGCCAACAGGCGAACCCCTCCCGTGCCGGCCCCTTTCCCCACATCTCAACGGCTCAGTATTCACAACCCATGTCTTTTGTGGATAAGAGGAGGAGGACGCTGATATCAGAGTTACCTGAAGAGTCTCAGACGCTGCAGAGGGAAGCGTGGAGAGCGGCGTCCAGGAGGTATTACGCTCGGAAAATGGCTCGCCACCAGACCAACCCCACAGAGTACGGACACCTGCTTCAGACGTAGAGCCGTCAGTGGAGGAACAATGTGCAGCTGATAGAGAAATGATGCTTTTAGGGATTCTGCAGATTTACAGCTTCATTTTGTTATGTTGTGTAAAACACTGGACTGTGTGAATGTTTGTTCATATTTAATGGTTAATTTGTACTGATGATGTTGAGGTTCGTCTCAGGTCTCATGTTATGGTCCAAATAGTTTGAAACTGGTGTTTTAACTTTAATGTTTTAACAGTTTTTTGTGTTTCTTCATGGCTGAATTATGCAACCAATATTCCTGAGAACAACACTGCATCACATCACATGTGGCTGTAATTTTTCTTCTCATGACAGTTTTCTTCGGCACACCGCATGCCTGCACAATATGCTGACTGCATAACTGTATTTTGAGGCAATATAAAGCTTTTGTACAATATTAACTCATGTTAACAGCCACTGTGTCAGTGCAGTGCCCCTGGAGTTCAACGTGTGTAACTACAATCAAGGCATCTATATTGGTCAAATTCTAACTTCAACATCTTTGTGTTGATAACAGGAGAAGAATTTGTTCATTTTTTACTTGTAATAAGTTAAAAAAAAATCCTGTTCTCCTTTTGAACATGTAAAATAATAAAAACGAGATAATTTAAATACAACTGTGGTGTTGTCTTTTCCTTTTTGTAAGTAAAGAATTGTGCTTGTCTAAATTTGTTTCTTTAAGATAATTTAATCTGTGATTCAACCAACAACTATTTTCTTTTTTGTAAATACACTCCAGAATTTGAATCCATGCCAACCTGAAGCAAAACTCAATCCCTGAGGGACACCAGCTTTCTTTGTTCCAAAATGTGGAAATTATGCAAAATAAAAGAAAAATATAGCAGTTCTATTTCTTTTCTTTTTTTATTGTTTATGTTGTTTTTTTATATTTGTACACTGAATGAAATCAGACACACACAATATGATAAAGGATTGTTTGGCGATACATCAGGTCATAGACGCATTCAAGCGATACAATTACCTGTTTTATCAGCCGACACATTAACGGGCCTGTTTGTTGAATGAGAGAAACGGCTCATTCGAATCAAGAGAAAATAATCAATAGGAAATATAAGAAATAATAATAAGAGGGAGTCTTGACTGTGTTTCGGTTGATGTGTAGGTCTATGCCTTTTGTCTGTGTGTTTACAGTCAGAGCCTCCAGACCTCGTTATTGTGGCTGTCAAACCGTCCACAGAGCTCCTCCTGCCCCCCAAGCTAAAACACACACACGGAGGTCTTGCAACAGAAGCTGTTTGTCGCTCTTCAGCCTAATATTACGCATTTTGACCGCAGCCCGACGCACAGCTGATGTTGCACAAGTGTGGATGCTGCAGTATCATATAGGACAGTGAGTATTCATCGCTCTGTGACTTGAGTGTGAAATGTGATCCGTTTGACAGCTGCTGCAGCAAATGCACGATGGGGACAGGCGCGCGCCCGGCGGGAGCTACACACACCACCAACTGTGGTCTGAGCGTTGATGTGAACCAGTCGGTGTCAGAGCACATAACGGAGGCTTTGTCATTTTTAAACACACAGTCGGGCTTTTTATTTCTATTTCTTCCTCAGTTCCCATTAGAAGCGGCAGGGAGGACAGGGCTTCTCTTATGTCGCTGCTGCTGCCTGAGGCTGGAGGTTTCAGAGTGGGGGGGGGGACGGGGTCTTCAACCTGCTACAGGCTCAGGTCTGGACAAGCAGGAAGGCGAACGCCCATCCTGTTTGTGGCTGTGTGCTGTTGTAATATACGACGTAAATATCACAGACATCAGACAGAGTGAGGGAGGAGCGGGATTGTCCTTTAACGCTTTGCTCGCAGCTGCCGCCATCATTTGCATAGAGGGGTTTATTTTGGGGAAAACAGCTTCAACCGCCGGCGCAGTCATCCCTCCACCAACGACTTCCCTGGACTAGTCTGAATGGCTGTAGCCTGTATATTTATGCGCTACAGGACTGATTTTCTTCTTACTCAAGCCTGGATAAAGGACCAGACTGTGGCTCGTTGCAGGAGTACTGTTGCGCACTGAATGGGTGCGTTTACTGCTCAGGTTTTTATCGGCTTGATAGTTACTGTTGGTCAGTTAGACGGTCATTTTGATTTGTGATCTGTGCTACAGTGCTCCCAGTATTAGCACACAAATATTTAAGAAAATAATATTTTGAAATACGTAAATTAAAGACCTTTATTGCCTGCAGTGCCCTTGCGCCATTTGGAACATTTTTCACGTTACACTTTGTTTTCTAATGGACTTTAAATTCGGCATGCTTTGAGTGTGACTTTAATTTTTTTAGTTCAATTGGTTAAATTTACACATAATAATTATTCTTATTACCTTTTCAGCTGGATAAACCTCTTTCTTTTCCCCCTGGAGCTTTTGGAAAGCTTTCTGTGCCTTTGGATACACTTGTGCACTTTTGGAGAAGCCCATTTGGAGTCATAGCTTTCTTTGTGCGTTGTTGGATTCTTCCGTCATCAAAGTATTTTTCTTCGAGTTTTCTTGCTCCAATCTACAAAAAAAGGGTCTCTTTGACTCATAAATACTACAAATGGACTATTTGTAGCCTCCAAAAGATGCTCCAGGGCTTAGCAAAGGCACAGGACGCAGCAAAAGTCTCTGAGCGCTCAGCTGCGCACTGACTGACAATTGTTCACCAGTATCAACAGTGTGACTACTGGATGGACCAAAATAAGTTCAAACCATAGGGGTAGACCATGGTGTATTGGAGGAGTGGGCTTTACCATTTAAGGCCATTGACATGTCATTTTAAAAATGGCATTTTGGAGCTTATATGTGTTTGGGGCCAAAACGGCCATTTCTGGGTTTTGGGGGCCTTTTGGGTTCTTTAGAAACGGTTTGGTCCAAATTGATCACCCCTACATATTCAACATACATGGAAGTGTCCTTTTTGCAGGGATTGCTGGGAAGAAGAAGGAGGCTGTCGAGGTTGAGACTTTGGAGAGGGAGGTATTGGCAGAGCCACTCTCAAAAGGTAAGAAATCCTCAGTCCTGCTGAGGCCCATGGTGCCCAATGTGGGCTGAGAGGCAGATTGAGACTGTATAGTCCACATTTAGATAGAGAAATTGGGGTTTTCAGGTATATCTTGGTGTCTTTTCTGTGTGATACAGCAGGGAGGGTCAGTGCATTATGGTGTGCATTAACAAGGAAATATGGAGGCACGGCTAGGGGGAGCCATAGCTGGGCAGGAAGGCAGCTGTGTGGCCCTGTGGCTGTTTGAAGTGGATGTTTTGCTTGTTGTAATACTCACAAATGTGGAAGAACTCCGGATGACAGTTTTATGTTAGTCTTCATCACTAAAGTCAATGTTTGAACTGTATTAGCCTCAAGGGTGTACTTCCTTAGAGAAGACTCCCTGCTGCCACACAGGCTGAGATCTGTAAAGACAGACATCAAACTGTCATGTTGTAACAAGGAGGCAGAAAAATCGTTCAGATAAGATCTGAAAATGTAACTCATGTAGTTTAAGGAACAAGGAACATAACAACATAACATTTAGATTTGGATTAGCATAGCATTGCTGTCATCATAGAAAACATTCAAGATGGCCACTCCACTGTGGGGAAACAGGTGAGAGCAGCCTGACACTTCCTGATTAGACAGACAGAGCCGTTTTGTGTACAACCAAATCAAATCTTGCTCCCTGGCGGTGACTGAATCTTTATATCTTCCTATGGCTACTCTTTGTTTATACGGCACAATAATGCAGAAGCTGAGTCACTGAGCCACAACTCTGGGCTTTCTGTGTGAGATTTGGGAGTGTTGTGTCCTCTGCCATCTCTAAAGGCCATGCTGTCACTGAGCAGTGATTGGTTAATCCACGGTGTGGATTTTAACTCAGGAGCCGTAATTGGTTTGATTTATTGGCCTTAATTAGCATTTTTATTGATTATATAAAAATCATATGCTTAGAACTCAATGCTTGTTTCGCTTCAAAATCATTGAAAATGTCTAAAAATGATCTCGCTCCCTCGTTAAGAAACGTCATCGAAGGGGAAGAGTTGATTTAAGAATAATTTCATGTGCACAAAGGGGTTAATTTACTATTACATATTAAAAACAGTCGCAGGAAGCTGCTAGATTCACCAAATCCATCCAGTTTGTGATCAAATGGAGCTCAGATTATTCCCCAGGACTTGAACATTTAAAAAAAAAAAAAAAAAAATTATTTTATTATTTCAGTGTCAAAAATCAGCAGTTAACCCTTTCATTACCTGCGTCTCATCTGGCAGATTGTCAGATTGCGTTGACACATGGAGGTTTTTTTTTCTTTTTCGGACAGCATCTGTGGAAACAAGGGCACAAAAGCAGAAATATAACACATATAAATGTAATTTGTTACTAATTTAGTCACTATCATGCACCAACTATGAAGCAAATAGCTCCTTATCGGCATCTATAATAGGAAAAAAACAAAAAACTGACTTTCATGGGCAGAGCCGAATGCTTTCAGTGCAGAAGCTGAAAAAAAGGTGAGGAAAAAATGTTCGTTTGAGGAGCATCTTATGGGGATTTCATCTCATTTTATAAGATCTTTCAAGTGTAAGAGTCATAAGTATTTAAACAAGTCAAACATTGGCTTATGTTTTTGTTGATTACAGCTATTAAGCTATGCCATCTAAAGTTAACTGGAAGGTAAAGGGTTAAATCCTGCTCCTGAGCGTCACTGCTGTCAGTCCACAGTGGTGGTGCTGAAATCAGACGGTGGATGTTATTGTGGGTGTCTCTCTGTCATCATAGGTAAATTACTGCCCCCTCTGGTGGACACAGGCATTTAAAAGAGAAAAGAAAGCAAATCAGAAACACAGAAACCGCCCTGTTCCTTCTGCCTGTGTCTCGGGCTGAGGCCTGTTTTAACTTGCTCGGCTCTTGCAGTCGTCAGCTGTGTGGGTCCCCGGCACAACACGGGTGTAGTGATTATCTTTGTGACCGTGATGTAATCTCAGAGTGGTATGTGTCTGAAGTACCACTGCCAAGCCATAACTGACAGTTACTGAGGTGTAAGGAGATGACAGGACACTTAACACACACTCTGCCTTTTCTGTTACAAGTGCTGTGAGTCCCTGAACTAAATTAAACTTTGTGGCTGATATACCACATGGAAAAACAACTCTAACACTGTATAAATCCTGTTTTCACAGATACAAATTAGGTTTCAACAGAAATTCTCTTGTAGCCTACAGCTCACACAATATGAACTTTTAATACCCAAATTCATCCTCTGAAGTAGCTTGAAACCATATGTCACTCTGGATAGTAGCTGTTGTGTAATAAACACGTCTTACGGCACAGACACTCATGGTAAACAGTAGTATGTGTTTTCCCACTGAACTGCAGCTAAAGAGTTTCTCTGTCCCGCCCATTAGCTGCAGCTGCTGCTGAGGAGCTATCAGCTCGGTCCATAGAAACACACAGGGAGCAGCCTGGTGCTGAAAGGCTGAACAGAGCCGTGTCACAGTGGGAGGGAGAGGCTGTTAACTGCTTCACTGCTGAAACCTGAAGCCTGAAGCCTTCGACGGACACAAATCTGTTCACTTCCTGGTTGAAGCAGACAGAGTTGAACCAGATCAGCGCTATGTGTGTTCTGTCTTGGATATATCTGACCCACTTCTTGTGTCTGAATCTCTGTTTGTCTTTTGTTGCAGGAATCATCCTGATCAGGACCAGTGTCTCGTTTTGCACTCTGAACAACACAGGCTGAAACTCCGGTGTGAGAAACTTGATGTAAGATGCTGCAACCTCTCCTCCAACACGTAACCAGCAGCTTCCTGTCACAGTGAAACGAACCATGAAATGCTCACTCTCAGGAAACATCTCAGTCTGTAAAGGACTGAAAGAATCGGTTAGCGATGACAAGGACTGTAGAGATGAAGTGAACACAAGTTGCTCTGTATGAGCGTCAGGTGGATGTCAACACAATGTAAACGTTACTAATAGATCTTAATAGTCTTGCTTGCAGTCGTAAAGCTGATTTATTGCACTGGAGTCAGCTGATTTACAGCTGTGAAAGTGTTGGTCAGCTGAGCCTTCAGACAATAATAATGGGCTTTTTCCACTTTTTTCATGGTTGTCAAATGAATTTACAGGAAACATGAATTTATGAATTTTGAATCTAATTTACCACCATATACGAGACAAAAAGCATCAACTCACCACACTTAAAAGGCTGGAGACGTTTCATTTTTTTACCCTTTTTCACTGAAATCATTCACCAGAATTGTTGCCAATTCATTTTTAATCAATTAATTGTTTAAGTATGAAGAAAATCACTGTGGCACATTATTGCTACGACTAAAACATGAGCTAAAAGGATGAACCACATGATACCAAATCAAAGATTTGTTGTGTAAACATATGGGTGATGCTTCATTTACACTTCCAATAATTTCAGTAATTTTCTATGAAGTACTCTAAAATTGTCCAGTAGTTTTTTTACAATACAGCTGTATGTCCTGAGAGCAAATTCTTACCCATAATGCCTCATTTTGACAAATGCAGCTGTATCATCCTAAAAACCATCCGTTATAGTAAACTGAATTTCCTCTCTCTCACAGACGTCCACTTCTTCACACAGCGACCTCAACATCTGAACCATGATGGAAGAGGAGATCATTGAGGACCGGGCCAAGCTGAAGCAGGGCCTGGTCAAAGTGCTCCAGTGTGTAGCCACCATCTCCTCAGCAGCAGCTGTTGTTAACCCCATTTTTGGCGTGGCTGGCTCCCTGATCCGGGTGGTGCTGCACCACATCGATGACGAGGACATCCGCACCCTGAAACGCGAGTTCGGCTCCGTCAACCGAGCGCTGGACCAGCTGTCCCAGCAGAATCGCAACACGCTGGTACAGATCAAGAAGGAAACGCTGGATGGCCAGTACTGCCAGGTGGAGGAGAACCTGAAGAACCAGTTCAGAAAGTTCATGGAGATGGTGGAGGCGCGTCCGGAGCACCGTGAGCGCAAGAAGGAGGACTTCGAAGAGAGCTATTCCAATGACTTGGGCGACCAGAACCTGCACACACTCTATGATGGCGTGGTGGGTAAACCGAAGCTCTTCAGCAGGCCCATCCTGGAGGTCTACCTGAAGCACTCGCAAGGCGACCGCCGCACCATGGAGCGACTCTGCACGCGCCTCACCTACCTGTTCTGCATCGGGCTCATCGCTCTCATGGGCTACGCCGCCATCATCGGAGACGACGAGGAGGGCCTGAGTGAGGAGTGGGCGGAGAAGATGGAGCGTGTGCAAGAGGAGATGCAGAAGGCTCTTTGCAAGTGCAAATGAAGAAAAAGCACGAAGAAGAGCTTTTTCCTCCGCTGCTGCTTTTCCTTCATATTCGGGACTCACAGGTCCACATTCCTGCTGTAGCTCCTTCCTCTTCGCCTTTCCTCTCCCTGTAAGCACTTTGTACGCGTCTCAGTTCACCGCGTGAGAACCCAGTGATAAAAATGAGCAGCAGTTTGTCTCATTTTAAAATCACATAACTTGCTGCATATGCAAGTGGTCTTTGAGTGGTCTTCATGTAGCTTCTGTCCAGGTTGAGGTAAAGACAACTAAATTCTTGCACGATATTTAGCATTGGCTTCACAGATAAATAGATAGATGGATAGACAGATAAATTCTTCAGGTTTTGGGATAAATCTGAAAAACACTGATGGTTTCAACTGATACAAAAAACAGATGTAATCAGCTGTGGGATCATTACAGATAATGATAAATCTACACTAGGAGCTCAATTTTGGGCAATGTGCGTAAATGTTATACTATACGTCATGCATCACATGCAAGGTATCACATCTATAAATCAGGCTTTAGCAGAAACTGCAATGTATCCCGCTCCCATTATACACTTATACACATTTATTGTAGAGCTTGTGAAATACATCTATTACACTACGAGGAAAAAGTATGTTGGAATGACCAAGTACAGGGCTTCCTATGAATTCTTTGAAATCAGACAAGTCTATATTATACTTTTTATGTCATACTATAGATGAAATAACTGCTATTAGACAGACATTTAGTTGTTAACCAGAGGGAGTTATCAGTCAAGTTATAACTATAATCTATAACATGAAAGAGGTATAAGCGTATCCCAAAGTTTTTTGGAGCTATGAATGTAACTACAGCGATATAATCATCATATACCACCTGTGATCATACCACCATTAACAAACATTGTAGGCCTCTGATGCATGGAGCTCGTGATACACTAAGCATACTTGTTGCTGTTGAGCACTAAATGTACATTTGTTTTTTACACTAATTTCAGATGCTGCTGTGCTGAGTTCTTTATCGTTATTGACTTGTAGTGAACAATTTCAGTTAAAAAAAAAAGAAAGAAAACACTAGCAGTAGAAATAAAATCAGATCTATTGTGATACTACTATGTGGCAAAACCAACTCTTCACCACAACAGGATACGCTAAATACAAATAAAAAATACTCTAAGTGCTTCCATTTACACTACCCGTCACTGCGTTATGTTTATCTTACAACAACTGAGGTATCTGACTTCTGAAACACGCTACTCTGTCACTGTAGTGAATCCTTCCCATCTTGATTTGTACAATTCTGTCACTCTTTTATTTTCTATTTGATGTGTCCTACAGCCTTTTTAGCCATGCAGGAGGAACACCAAGTATTGTTAAGACTGTCTATACAAACAACTATATAGCTCCAACTATAAAAACATTTAATGTTCATTATGCGAGACTTTTAGCTCTTCATGCTCCTCATCATCTGACCGACAGTGCCTAAATGTGCTATCAGTTTTATATTATTGGGTTTTTTTCTTTTTTGGCTAAAGCATTAGTAGGGCAATGTATTCTGGGAGATACAACTCGACAGGTATTTGAAAAACTATATGGAGAAATGTTTTATTTAGGTGAAAACAAGAGGGGTAGAAACATTAAATTATTTTTTACAACTCATTTTCCACTCTTGCTTGTTCATGGGTTAATCACTTAAGTATTTTATTGTGTAAGGCATTATGTTTTGAATGCTACAGTTCAGATTTAAACCTGTAGTTAAAATAATGTTTGTAAATGTGTGTCTGTCTTTCTTTTGTTTGTTTGTTTGTTTGAGCAAACTGGTGGTATGGGTAGTACCATATATGTTTGGAGGGCTGCATCAGGACCGTTCAGACTGTCAACAAAGCTGTTGAATAGAAAATTAGACTAAACATGTGATCACTAAACATCTAATTGTCATTAACAGCTTTCAAACCTACCAGTTTGTATATTTATTTGTTTTACTAAGGTCTAGTCCATTCTGCTCCCTCTCTCTTTCAGTACTAACTCTGTGGTTTATTGATTCCATCACAGTGTGTCCTCTCTCTCATTGTTACAACAGACTCAGTATACGCTACGTAAATATAGTCAAAGTGCTGCTGACATGCAGGAAACTTATATGAACCTCTCAAGGCTTTTCTTGTCATGTTATCATTGTGAATATGTTGCCTTTTTTATGGATCTTTGATGCCTGGTTGTATTATATGCACCACTATAAATAAATATGAGTGAATACCACTGAGTTGGAATCGTTGATTATTTATCACAATAAAAACAGCAAAATGGAGAAATGTCACATTAAAAGTAAATGTTCTGTTTTAGTGATGAAACAGGATCAGTGTATTGAAAGTATTTGTGATGCAGAATGAACCTTTTCACAGTATTAAATTAAGTAATGTTGAATACTGTTTAATGTTGTAGGTAAGACTGTAAAGCGTACTGACCGTTATCATCTTAGAAATATCTCTAAAATACAACCTTTTTTTACTTTTAAAGAGACTATTTTGCATGCCTTCATCTCATCACACCGGGATTAATGCCACACTCTTTTTACTTGCCTCACCCAAAAATCTACTGATCGTCTCCAGACCATAAAGCACTCAGCTGTCCGGCCTTCAACGTCCCTCCTGTTTTACTGATCCCAGTACATGTTAGAATAGATTTTTAGATTTTATTGATTACTTTTAAAGCTCTCTGCGGCCGCTCCCCTGGCTACATCTCTGTTCTCTTCATTCCCTACACACCAGGAGGCACCTTGAGATCCTTGGGTAAAAGTTCTGTCTGTTCAGGAGACCTGGTTGAAAACCAAAGGGGACAGAGCATTTGCAGTCTATCGGAGGGTTTTTCCTGGTTTTAATTTCCCTTCAATTGTTTTATTTCTCTTAATGACTCTGTATTGTTTTTATACACCTACTTGTTTTATCTTTTTTTCTTCTCTGAAACCTCTTGATTTTATTGATTCTGTTTTATTGCTGCCTTTGACAAGCACTTCATAACATATTTTGAAAAGTGCTCTATAGGTGATCATGATTATCACTACTATTATGCACATGTTCATAAGTTTAAATGACATATACTATATGGCCAAAAGCCCATGGACCATATCTTTTTTGTCTGAGACAATAGTGTGTTTCCAACTTTGTGGCAGGCCCTTTGCTGCTTCAACATAACAATAACCAAACGCACAAAAAACCAGGTTCATAAAGAAATGTTTCCCCAGTTTGGTGAGTCCTTCTAAAGTAGTGTATTAGCTTTCTCCCCTTGGAAGTGCACACACAGACTAATGTCACTCTCCACTGCCAAATATTCTATGGCTCTAATGTTAAATAGCATTTATGCACTGAGGAGGAAAAAGATGTGTAAATGATAAAAAAGTAGAAAATATTGTAATTGAACAGGGTATAATTGTATAGTTTTATATTTGCTGCATTTAGTTTTATTTTTTTTTTATTTGGTTTCAAAATATTTGTATTAATTATTTATTTTGTTGTTGATTCTTTGGATACATTCAATAATGTTGGAGCAGATCTAATTCCATACACTGCAGTTGAGTTCAGTTCAGTTTGACACAGTATTTAGGTTTTTTCTTCTTCAAACTCTTATTTTAATTTATATTCACAAATATTCAAACACACCTTGTTTATCTGATTGCATCAATAGGTAAAATGTAAATATTAAATGGATATTGTACTTTATTCTATTTGCCCCAAAAGGAAAAAGCATGCTGACATACAATACTGGTATGTTTGTGAAAAACCACTGCTCCTCACTGGTATTAAATATGTATAACCTGTGGATGCTGCACGAGGAGGCCAGAGATCCATGTGGGGGTGTAAAGGTGCAATTTGCTGATGTGTACCACAAGAGGGCGCGAGCACTTCACCCGCTTCACCATTACACCTGATGTCACTGAGCTCCCCGAGGGCCCACAGGACTGAGGCATCACACGTCTGTCTCCAAAACTACGAACTACTCCTGCCTGCTTCTTGAATCACATCCTCTACATGGTCGGTCTGCACGAGGGGCAATAATCCTAATTAATTTACTGGATTGAAAAAGGGGAGGGGGGAGAATTTACCTGAAAGGACATGAGATGGGCGCATGACCGAGGTTAAGTACCTGTGGTATGGCCCTCGTGCATCATTATCCAGCTGAACAGGTTTGACTTCCAGCTCAGAGGGGGGTTGGTGGGGGGGGGGGACCAAAACAGGAAAATGTGCATTGCGGGCGTTTGAAGTGCAGATTAAGGAGACACAAAGATTCGAGGCGCTTACCTGTTCCGCAGATTGATGAGTGTCTCAGAGCCACTGACGCACGTCGTCCGTCTCGTGATGGTTGGTGCTCATTATTCTCCCCATGACACGAGCTCGTTTCGGAGAGCATCCGTGATCACCTGAAGGAAACTGGTGTTATTCCAGAAATTAAAAAAAATCTGAAGCAAATATTGACCTGAAACCTTCATACAGGAGATGAAGTCTCTCATGTGTTGGAGGAGAAATGATTTGCGTAATGATTTTCTTTTTTCCTGGTGAGGGAGGATCAGCCTGGACTCTCACAGGGCGCGTCGTGTGCGCACAGATGAAGGAGCTGTGAGGTTTAATGTGATCACCACCAAGTCCTCGGGCTGATGAAAACACCACATTCGATGTATAATTCTACTTTTAAATGGCTGTTTTAACCCGATGTGTTTAAATTTGTGACAAATCAGACTGAAGACGGGTGACGCACGTCTGTGCTGTAATTATAAATAATAATAATAATAATAATAATAATAATAATAGCAAACTAAAATATCCATTCATATGATATAAGCTGTTCTGAATCTAAATGATTAGGGTGTAAGACATTTCATACTGCAGCTGTGTGTAATCTGCAGGAGGTGCGTTTGAGGTAAAACACAAACAAAAAAACTAAATGATAATAATAATTATGTTTTATCAAATATCACACAAATACGAAAAAGACAAAACACAGCAACAGTTTTCTGATCGTCTTACCTCAAGTCTGGGGCAGTTAACATTCTCAACAGCTGAAGCGCATTATGGTGATGAGACATTAGCGCCAAGTGCGCAGGAGACCTCGTTCTCTACAAGACACAGTCGAAAATATGTGGAAAACAATTTAACAAAGGAAAAAAATCTAATTCAGCTCCACATTTGTTGAAAAGAGATTTGAATCGTCCTTTCATGGCGACACGCAGACCGAGCAGAAAATGGAACCGAGCACATTCACCTCCTGGAGTTTGCGCTGTTTCTGCCTGTCTGTTCCCCCTCCACCGCCACCCCTCCTTTCTCTCTCCTCCTCTCTCTCTCTCTCTCTCTCTCTCTCTCTTCTTTGCAGATATTAAGTGCGCATCTCCTCCTCTCCTTCTCTGGATCCTGTTTTTGGACCCTTCCTCTGCAGCTCCACAGTGGATGATTGGACCGTGGGAATTTTCTCAAACTCGAAGGAGAGAAAAAACAAAACAACTTGTTTGCAGCTGTTGCAGCTCATCAGGCGTGAAGGAGCAGCGGAGCCATTTACATGAGGTAGGCCTACTGAAGAAATGCTGTTATGGGACTGTGATGAATCTTCCATCAGGAGGGGTGAATGTGCTGTAAGGTGTGTCCGATGCTCTCGGTGGATTTGTGCGTAAAAAACCCAACCTTTGCGCATTTCTTCAGGGTGCGCATGACAGTTAAACACAGCGCAGACACATGACAAATCTTGTCTTCATTTATTTACTGAAAGGGTTTTTTGTTTTTGTTTTTTAGATCACACACTCTTTGTATTTCATAAGTTTGGATTTAGCTTCTTTTCCCCTTTCCACTATAAAAAAAGCAAAATCAAAGCAGGACATTTTCAGATACGAACCAACATGAAATTAATGTCGAAGTTAATTAGTGGAGAAGAGTTCGGTGACGCAGCATGTGAGATCCTTCCTCAGACAAACGTCTGGACACAGAGGACGCGGTAATTTATGTAAGTCAGGTTACAGGAGGATGAAAGGGGATTTTTAAACATGGTTTGGCCTTGGTCTGCTCTGCTCTGAAATGACTCGCATACAGACTCAAGGGCATCTGTGTCATTCTCTCATCCACGTATCAGGCCCCCATTTTGTTTACATGACATCATCACCTGCTTCTTTCTGGGTTTGTAGTTTTTTTTCTGCCGTAGGAGGATTGAATATTTAAAATATCAAAGCTTTCAGGATAAAGATTTGAATCAAATCCTGCTGCATTTGATTCTGACAGTTTTATAATTTTCTATATGACCAACATACATTTTTAGACACATTTAAAACACATTCTATAATGTATTTTACAACCTTCTGGGAATCAGGATGCTCCTAATGTTAACAATGGTGCAATGTTCTGTTGACAATTGTCTTTTTATGAGGAATAAGAAACAAAGGTGCTGTAAAAGCCTTTAAGATACTTCCTATCTGTAAATTAACTATGGAGACTTGCTAAACCCCTTACAGGCCCACTGAGACCCCCTCCAAGGTAAATCCATTTTTTGGGCCTTTCTACTGTCTTTGCTTTTATCTTGTTAAATTCTAGATGAATGAATCTCTTGTGGCCTCTACCTGCTATTCTAATCACTTTGAATTAAAGAATTAAATTATTTTTTGATGGAACTGCTCACAACGTAACACAAGACCGACACAACCTGTGAAAAGGGGCTCGCTTGTGACACTTTTTCAGGAATATCTTAACTGAATAAAGACTTGGACCTTTCTGTCGCACACCTCATATGTCCCTCTCGAAGGTTTATCGGTGTTTGACAACAGATTCTGTCCCTCTGTGTCTCAGAACATGTCCAGTTCATTGGAGAGGGTTGTGGCCCAGAAGAAGGAGGCCATCGAGGCGGTGATGGATATGTTCCAGCGGGGGGCCGAGGTGTTGGCCAGTGCTGTAGGCGAGCTCTTCCCCCTCTGTGAGGCCGCCGCTCCGGTTCTCCGCCTGGCCTTAGACAACGTCCACAGCAAAGAGGTCTTTTATGTCAAAGAGCAATTTCTGACAGTGAGGAACAAGCTCGACTTGCTCTCCAGCCAACTGGAAGACATCGACTGTGAGATCAAGAAGGGGAGGCTAGACTCCCAGTACTTCTCTGTGGAGGAGAACATTAGGAACCAGTTTAGGAAATATATGGACATCTTGGAGGCAAAACAGCAGTTCAAGGAAGTGAAGAAGAGGCTTTTCCTGGAGCACTTTGCTAAAACCGGGGGAGAGAAGAACCTGTTTGTCTTGTATGATGCTCTGATGGGCACCAACACCTTTGGAGAGTCAGTTTTAGAGCTAGTAGAAAAGTAAATGGTTAATTTTCTCTCATCTTTTATCACTACTTGTTTGCATGACTAACACCAGATAAATACCTTCAATGTGAAAGTAAAGGGTTCCTCTGTTTTGCAGGTATGTGGCGAGGAACCGTCGTCTCCTGGAGGATTTCTGTGTCCGCATGAAGGAGCTCTTCTGTTTGGGTCTGATTGCTCTGTTGGGCCACTGTGCCTTAACCCAAGGCCCAGAGGAAGAAGAGGACAAAATCCAAGAGTGGAGCAGCAAAATTGAAGAAGTAGAGTCCAGAATGAAGACAAACATCGAGTCCTGTATTGCTGCTTTCCCAGAGCAAGCAAAATTAGACGCCCAGCGACTCCTGCAAGAAAAGGAGGAAGAAAACCTGCAAGATTCAACTCAGCAGCTTCTTGAGTTCTTGGTGAAAAAATATGATTGGGTCAGCTGGTCAGTGAGGCTCATCAACCACTCAGGCAGCACCTACCGGAACTGGCGAGCGGGGGAGCACTTCCATCACGTGGCAGGACAGAACTGGTTCGAGGTACTCCAGGTGAACAATATAAACCTGGTGGTGTCGTACAGCACCAAACCGCAGCCGGTGCCCCGCGACTGCATCCGGCAGGTGATGGAGGGTCAGGGGAAGAAGGGAAACGCCCCGGCAGTGGTGGAGACGCTGGAGAAGCAGCTGTGCGGGTTCGTCGTTCACGCCGTCAGTCGCCACAAGGAGTCCGCCGCTGCCTGGAGCTTTCCAGAGGAGTGTCACTACTGGGAGAGACACAAGAACGTGGCCGTGTGCGTGCACTCTGAGTAAAGCTGTCACGTGTATTCAGATTGAGAGACTATAGATTGTGTTGCTTGTCCATCTGCAACACTGAGGTGAGAATATCAGTATTTTAGTTTATCATAAAAAACTGAAAATACTGAATCTGATGAAGAAGGGCTGCACAAATCCGATAGAAGTGATTAGGTATCAGTGTGATACACTGACCTTATTAAGTGAACTGGGTATTGGCCAGATGCTACCAGTCCAGATATAAGTGTTAGTTCAGGTTATTTATAGATGAGTTTAAAGTACAATATTTAAGTTGCATTAAATGGAAATAGTTAAATACAAGAACCTCAAAATTGTGCTTAACTTTTTTCGTTACTTTCCAGCTCAGTGTACAGTTGCATCCTCATGTTACTTTACACAAGAAAGACCGCCATCGATCGATGCAGTGAGGTATTAAGATGTTAATGGGGGGAGGAGAAGCACATCTGGTACTGGGTCAGTGTCGGTCAATACCCTGAGTTTGCATATTAGAATCAGAATCGGGGTGCATCCCTACCAGAACTATAGTATTTCAGACCCTTTATTAAAAGAATTTAATCACAAATGCACTTTCAGCTTTTAGGGTTGTGTCAACTCTTCATACAGTAGATATTTAAATCCTCCATTTGATGTGAATTTATTTATTTATTTATTTATGTTGCAGCTGTTTAAATATTAACTGCTTGCATATTGTAAAACTATGTGACTACTAACCAGTTTGTTTATATCTATAAGAATTTTTACACGAACACTGTACTGTATATGAAAATGGGAAGCGTCTATGCTTTTACTTTACCTCAGCAGCATATACAGTCATAATCCAGTCCCCCATGAGAAATGGCTTCTGCACCTACAGCTCTAAAGAGATGGTTTTGCTGAGGCTGCATCTGCAGAGCTGTGCTCCCATTTTGTCTCCGCTCAGCAGGCTGGCCTACATAACTCTGACAGGGAGCGCAGAGGTTACTTTCTCAGGCATGAAAAACAAAAAGAGGCTCGGAGTTTGGCACCAGAGACGCGACAATGTGCCTTGTGTTCCAAACACATTCAAACCCCTTGATGCTGAACCAAAGCTACTGAACCCCAGTGCTGCCAATGCTGTGCCTCTGATCATGAAGCCTGATGGTTTGTGTTAGCTGTTTCAGCCTGGATGAGGAGGTGAAGTCGTCTGCAAGATTCTTCATTTGTATGTTTTATTTTGGTGATAAATGGTGATTATTGCTTTGTTGTTTTGTTCCTTCCAGCCAATGATGGATTTTTTATGATTCATGTATGATTTTCTGCCTAAGTAGGTGGAATTTTACACTGTCTGTCATGATATACCTGCTCACACTAAACACACACTTATTTTTTGCACATTTCAAGTGAACCACTGTGATTTTTACTAGAAATTTAAAATGACTCCACTCCCTGACCATCCATCAAAACAAACACACCACCTGTATTAACTGGGGGAGGTTTAAAATCGACTGTTATACCAGTTAGTGATAAAGAAAGGTAAACTGGTTTACAATTTATATCAAAATGTCATGTACCAATGCTTACATACATTAGCTCCTATATTTATGCCAAATCTCAATAAAATCAGTGCATGATCGATGGTCTATCTTTTTGTGCTTTATGACAATTAATAGCCAAGTACAAATAGTTAATGGATGTGTAAACAAGTATAATCTAATATCTGCCTGTCTTTTCTTGTACAAATGTGATTTACGCAGCACCGCTAGGGCCTGAGCCCATTAAAGCGAGGGAGTGCACCCTCAGCAACAGGGACTCCGACTAATTTAATTGATATTTACACATAAGTCAGCATTTCCTGACCGCAGCTCTGGTTTGATAGTCCGTGAATAACCTTTGGCTGAGCTAATATCCTGCAGACGACCAGCAAAGTGCTTAGCTTAGCAGGATGGTATCAGTCATAATGCACACACTGGTGTAGGTGCAGAGCGGGTGGAGACGGCCATCATTTCATATCTCGGTGGATCTGGAGGGTCTTTAGCCGCTCTGTCGTAAGTCGAGCCTGTCAGACTCCATCAGTCGCTATCTGTAACACACATCACAGTGCGGGAGGAAGTGGACTGTGGTGAATCATCACAGCGTTTCTCTGTGTGCAGTGGAAAACACTGCAGCTGCTGAGGTTGTTTTGAGGTTTGGTGGCTTTGTTTATGAAAATGGAGTCAAAGACCACATTTGTGCCTTTAACTAGTTTTAGGCCAAAATGATTAATTAGATGTTTTTCTTGAAGGTTGAAGACAAACTTTTTCCAGAAGGAAAACTGCATCTAATTTCTACCAACATCCAAATGATTAATGCAACATAAGTGATAGAAGATTTTAATTCATGATCATGATCCTAGTTGTTATTTATAATGATCTTTTTAGTGAAGAAGCCCCAGGAGTGAAATATGTGACCAGGCGTTCATATTCCATTAAGAAAAATCAGTTTTTATATAGATCTATAATTCACTCTCTTAATGAGAGTCAGCAGGTAATACACAGCACATCAGTAAAGATTTTTTTTTTCTTACAGTTTTAGAGAAATTGTTTTGGGAAATTCGTTTATCTTTTTGAGAGTGAAATGAGAATAACATCAAATCTCATATCTGTGCATTAAATGTTGAGCTGGAGCCGAGGGATGTTCAGCCTAGCCGGCTGAGTTTTAGTTTATTTATTTGCACAATTAACAAAACAGAAAAAATAATGCATTAAAAGGACTAAAAGGGATTGTGCTGGGGAGATTTAAAAACTCCAAAAGGACTTACAAAGAGATCTTACCAAAACTTTTAACATCAATCAATTAAGAAAACAATAGACAATATTGTTTTTTCTAATAAACAATAGAAAAAAGACGGGAATCTAAAAACAGTTAGAACAACCAATAACTGTATGTGCCAGCAATAAAATGAACACAAGATGATGCATAGGCTATATACAGTATATGTTAACTGCTCTTTATAAGTATACCATTCTATAAACTGCTACATAACGTGAGGAAAAAGGTTCGTTTCATTTTTACATCTGGAGTATAAAAACAACAATTTCCCATTTCCCAGCTAAGAAACAGTCTGACTCATATAAGCTCTTGTACAACGAGTGATCATTGTTTTTACACTTTAACTTCTGTTCAGATTATAGAAGCAAGATTAATCAATTAGTCAGCTTTAGAGCTTTTTGTTAAAGTTCGACAAAGAAGTAAGAAAGTAAGTAAGTAGAGCACTTCCAAAAATATCAAACTATTCCTTTAATCGATGAATTTCAGAGGTGTAATTCCAGACATTAGAGAGTCAAGCTAACAGTTTCCTCTTGCTTCCAGTCTTTATGCTAAGCTAAGCCTGAGCTTCATATTTAGCTTACAGACATGGGAGTGGGTTCAATCGTCTGGTCTAACTCTCGACAAGAAAGCGTAAGAAGTGTATTCCACAAAATGTTGAAGTATTGTTTTAATTTGAGTGTATTTACATCCAGATTAAGTGAGGTGTAGAAAATGTCATTACCCTCTGACGGTCAAAACACTGGGGAACTGTGTTTCAGAATACCATGTGTTCTACAGTGTTCATTTAACATGGAGTCTGAAACCTACAACCCTTTACACTCATCATCAGCGTTTCACTCCAAAACAAAGAACAAAACCCAAACAATGTGTCACGGCCCAAATACGTATGAACTGCACCATAACACACAACACTGCACCTGCTACCTCTGCTGGCACCAAGCCCTTTTTACAAATTAGAAATCCCAGACAGGTGACTAACATGCTTTGCCACCTTTGACTTATCAGCACTCTACTCCTACGTTTAAAAAAACAGGCGGGTGGAGGGTGTGCCAGACAGAACCTCAGTCTTCAAACACACAACCAGTCCCAGAGAACAGACAACACTGACATGTCGCGACACAAATACAACAAACTAAACCGGAAAACGCACTTTGTGTGATACGTGCACCTGCTGTTGGGCAATCACCTTTGCAATAGTTTTATATTTTTTAATTCAAAGTGGTGGCTGTATTTGGATGTTAAGCTTTACACTACAACTAGGAGCATTAGGCATTTTCTCAGTCTTCCTCCTGTGCAGACATGAAGCAGCAGTGGCAGCCTGTGCTGGAAGCCAGTGGATTCATTAGTGGTTGTGTGGGCTTTGCCTAGGTAACAACTATTGATCCAGGAGGCTCTCCCACTGCATAAATGGCTCTGGCTGAGGTAGCCCGTCAATCCTCACTGTCATTATGGGAAAACTAAAGCATCTGTTTACTGACGAGAGCTACTGCATCCTTCTCGTGCCGCAGGAGCTGGAGTTAGCTTGCTTGTGGTTTGAGGAAAGGTTTAAACAAAGTTTTCTGAGTGAAAGAGTGAATTCTGGTGAGGAAGTGGTACCAGAGGTGGTTTACAGACAGAGGGCGCTATCAACATACAGATCTACTGGAGCTGTCAGTCTGTGGGCTTTTCTTGATTGGAATTTATTGAGTTACATTTTAGAGCATTTGATGCAAATATGACAAATTTAAAAAATTTGAAAAACAATGCAGCATTTTTTGACTGTTTTACGTTTTTGCTCATTCATTTATAAATCAAGTTGGTTGCTTCTTTACACAGTGAAAATACAAGTGGTCACAGCAGTCAAGTGTCACATGAATTTTACCATTTATCAGAAAACGTATGTTTCCCCTTTCTCTGCTGGGACTTTAGGTTGTGGCTTCATACTGTAATTTTTAAAAGAGGAAATATGGGACAAAAAACAAAAGCCGTCATGAAGTCATTCTGGATATAATAAACTGATTACATTCCCGGGGAAATACAACTTATAGTTCACAAAACCTTTTTCCAGCATCCCCTAACGCTCTCCTTTCCATCAAGCTGAATCTCCTCATCTCCAAGAGGAGATAGCAGCCAATATCAATATTTCATAAACAAATGAAAGACTTGATGGAGGCTAGCATCAGAGTGGCCCTGGAGGGGAGAGTCGATCAATGGTAGGATAGCTCTGTCTGCTGGTGTCTGCCAATCCCGGCCCACACTGGATAATACTATTACCCATCAGTCCGAGTGGACCATCGACCAGCCTGCAGCTCTTTCAGTGGACTAATCCAATAAAAAGCATTAAAACATTTGTTCAGTGACACACTGGCTGCAGGTCCGAGGCCAGAACTATGGACTGATGTTTTTTGGGGTCCTGCCTGGTTGGAGATTCTTACTGTTAAAGTTTTAGACACACATGACAGGATTTTGTTGACATCATATAGTTTTATAGTTGTTTTATGGTACAAATATATTCAAGAGTTGTCTGGATGCTACAACAAAACATACTATACCTGATAACAGGCTGACTCGGTGTGGATATAGGTTCATTGATTAATGCTCTAACTCGGAGATGAGACACTCGCTGGCTTACCACCTGAAAAGCGTAACTCAGTTAATCTAAACAAAGTTGTTTTTGGCATCTTCTGTTAAAGGGTTAAACTTTAAATGCAAATCCTCATAAAGGCTGGAAAAAAAATATAAGCAGAATTGGTGTCTTCTCAGTGGTGGGAGAAGGATCCTGATCTTTTACTCAAGTAAAAGAATAATGCATGATGATCTACTTAAAAGCATAGAAGCATTATTAGGT